ATATAGAAATAACTCAAATACAAATAGACAACTCATCATCATTGTATTAATGGATAAATATAACGTTTTATTCAATGAACGCGAAGAAATTGGATATCACATAATTCAAACATAAAAATAATAGCTTGCCCAAACATGAGATATTTGCGAGTAGAGGTAACTACTTGTTCTACAAGAGCTTTCAACCAGTTTAGATCCCACTTCCTAGAGCATTGTCAGCAATCACACTTTAAATAAAAAGAAAAGCGTAAACAAACCATCTGATTTACCAATACTCATTGAAATAAAACTGATACACATTGTAAATGGGAAAGGATATAACTTGTAGAGAGCAAAAGAACATAAAAACAAAATCAAGATTTAGAAACGTAGACAATGAAATTCAAATGCATGACAATGTTGATCACACAAACCCCACATAAAACCTTTATCATTCTACATTCTAGTCTCACCTCTTTAACAATGTGAGAGCAGTAAAAGTGGACTAAAAGCTTTAAGTCCTACTTATGTTTAAAGTGGTGAGCTAGACTAGATCGGGGTTAAGGGTTACTGTTCTTAAAATATAATTAATAACTATTATATTATTTATTTATAATATTTATTAAATTATTTGATTTAAATAAATTAAAAATTATATTTTTAATATTAAAAATATTTTTAAAAGTAAATAAAATATTTATTTAATATATTAAAATTTTATCATAAAAATAATATCAAGTATAATTATATTAAAAATATTAAAAATGAAAATAAATTTAACTTTTGCTTTTTAAAAATTTTTTAGTTAAATTTAATATGATATATTAATAATTTATTATTTTAATTAAGAATTAATAATAAATATTTTTAATTAAATAGTAATTAAATGATAAAATAGTATTTTATAAAATATTCTGTAATAGTTATTTTAGTAAATTTAATTAATTCTAGTATGTTTTGATAATCTTTAATGACTTTTAATAATTATGGATTATTATAATTTAGGTTTATACATGGTATAGTTATTTTTAATATAAATATAAATATGTAGAATTTTAAATGATTATTTTTAATAAATTTTACATAGATATATAGATACCGATAGATTTTTTTATTAAAAAATATAGTTATTAATGTATATTTAAAATTTAATAATTAATAAATATTTATATGAAACAAAAATAAAAGTATAAATAAAAAATTAAATTATTAACTAATTTATCAATGTATATATAATATATAAGTAAGTGTTTTAATTTATTGTATAGGTAATATTTTTTATATTACATTAATGTTATAATGTAGTTATCAAATTATTTGTTGATTTAAAATAATAAATTGACGAAGAAAATAAAATTGATTTACATAGATTGCTTCATAAGATCTTGACTTTAAACCTTGATATATAGGACTTTTTGGCGTATAGGACTTTTGATTGTTGAACTTTTTGGTCCTGATTCACATGAGATACGATTATGTTAAATGTACTTTTTGACAGTTGTTTAGATCCAATAATAACATGCAACATATAAATTAATTAGTAGTTAGGTAGGTTAAAAGTAGAAGAAAAAATAAGGCATATTGTTTATGTTACAAGAGGGAGCCAAAAAGAGATCAACAAATTATCAGTAGAAGGATTTAGGCATTGAAATGAAAAAGGTCTCTTGCATACCTGAGTTGCACTAAAGAATAATACACATTTTATCACTTTCTTTCATTTGTTTTCTCAATTGCTTTTTTAGTTATGATCTAGTTCTAACAACTTTTATTTGAGCTCCAATCATGGAGTCATGAGTATAAAATCTTTAAAATGATTTAATATTTGATGGAGAGCATTAAGGGGCTGATGTAGAGCTGTATTTTAAGACCATTGGAGTGATAAAAGAGGAAAAGTTATATTGAGCTACAACTAATTTGAGAAGTTTTGTTATCAATTGGTGGCTTTACTAGATACAATGTAATCAAAAGGCAAATAGGTGGACTATTTTGAAGGCAGTATTCAAGAGATTTTAACATGAATATGATCTATAATTATTTGTATCTATTGAGGATGAGAATTTTAAGTGCAAAAAAAACAAAAAATGATATGAAGAACTTGAGAGAAAAGAGCCAAAAGATTGGAGACCAATAGAAAAATATGCAATTGTCTAAGAAAATGAATAGAAAAAAAATGAAAACTAAAAATCTTGAAATCGAAGACAAACACAAATGAGGAAATTCAAAGGGAACTAATTCACATTTTGGATCAAGAATCATAACAAAAAAATTCACTAGATTGGGACAAATATTTAAGATAGAGAGACAATCAGGTGTTACAAGGTTTGAAAACAAGCTTGGTAGTGTGGAAGGAGACCCTCTTTTTAATTGTGAGATGCATCATTCGAAAAATAAATGACAATGAACTATAATTTGTTTAGAAAACATTGGATTCTTTATAAACTTGTAGAAGCAATGATATTTTATTTTAAGGCTAAAAATATTAAAGAAAAAAAAACATTAAAAAAAATTATTACAACCACTTATCTGTATTTGACCTAAAAGAGCTTAAGACTATTTTGGAACTAGAATAATAAAGTTGATATAATCATCATACTTAAATTAGTTGAAACTTCAACAAAACTTTCTTTGCATTGCCATAGATGAACCTTAAGAATAAGGTGAAACTTTAAAGAGAAATATTGTTAAGTAACTTTTCTTTGTAATCAATTATGACAAATTATTTAGAAACTCATTAATAATTAATTATAATATATTCGTTACTTATATTGAAATACAACATCTATAAAAAAAATTATTTTATTTGTAAGAAATAATTATCATTATTTTTTCTAAAGTAATAATAATAATAATAATAATAATAATAATAATAATAATTGTTAAATTCTTTTTACATTATTATTTATTATGAAATTTGTATTGACAAGACATTCATCATTTACTCATATAAATTATTATAGCTATTTATTTAATTAATATTTGAGTTATTAATTTAACTATTTTTATATGATTATTTTTAAAATTATAAATTTATAATATATAATTTTTATTAATATTGATAAATTATTTATTTATTTTTTATTAAAAAATCAGAGAAAATCTTACAACTCTTGATCAATACTCACCTAAAACTAGATACAATAATACAAATAATAAGTTCATGAATAATGTTTATAGTTAAAACTTATCAATGAATAAATAGTTAGATTAAAAGTTTACAATAAACTCTTACTTAGATGTAGAAAAGACTAAATGCCTATGATAAAAGTTTAAGACTAAACATTTTATAAGAAGGATAGGGATTCTCTAAAATATAGAATGTACTATAAAAGGTACAATATTTTTTCTTGTAATTAAATTTATTAAAATATATTATTTAATAAATTTTATATTATAATAATGCAATTTTAATGATTGAGATTTTATCGCATAAACTATTCCTTTTATAAAAAGATAAAAGAAAAAAAAAAACTTGTAGAAAAAATTTTCAAAAGTATTTTTTTTATTCTAAATCTAAACTCCATATCCTTATGTTTAGATGCTTTAAACAGTTGTAGTTGTAGAACTACAAAGAGTGTTGTTTTATTGGATAAATGTTTTATGGACATGAAAGTATGTTATTTTTTTAAAAAAATTATTAAAAATATCTTTTTAAATGCTTTTTTAGATTGCAAATATCTGCTATAAAAAATAACTATGTTTGAAGTGAATAAAATCACTGTAAACGGTAATTTATATGTGAATATACTTTTATAGTTCATTTAATAGGATGGAGTTAAGAAAAAACTAAAATTTTAATATTATTTAGAATGGAACTATATATATTCTTTTTTCAAACACTAACTTTATTATTATTATTTAATAATAATATTTTATTTCATTTAAATTTTAAAGAATTCATACAAAGCCTCAAAACTTGCTAGTTGTTAATAAAAACTAAAAGGAAACAAAATAATCAAAATTATGGAGGCTTTTCATGTTATAAAAGTTCTCTTTTAGAGGTTTAGGTTAACAAAATTGTTGAATTTATAACATATAGTGAAATATAACAATTTATTTTCCATAAATTAATAGGATAATTCTTTTTATATAACCATTCAATTATTATCATATTAATAAAAAAGATCACTGTTTATAATAACTAATATAAAAACAATATCTTTTATGCATTCTAATTAGCTGATAGTATAATTTTTTTTAACTCAAAGCGCACTAAAACATAAAACTTGAATAATAGAGTGTTTAATTTTAATCTAATAGTAGTATAAAATTTTGTATATTATCAGTCAATTAAAATATATAATATTACAAAATATAAACAAAATAAAAAATTGTATATAATAATTTTAAAAATATAAAATATTACAAAATTTAATATATTAATAATATTAAATACTATATTTTTTTATTAAAAAGTTATTATCCAGTAATTTTTAGTTATGTATTAGATAAACATATAAAAAATAAAATAATTGATTATACTGTACAATAAACCTTATTAAAACTATATTTAAAAACTGTAACTGAACAACTTATTAATCACAAATAAACTACTTTTAATTATTTATTTATTTATTTATTTATTTATTTGATTCCGTAATGGATGACTTCGTCAATTCAAATGCAGACAAATTAAAAGGGTTGAAATTAAACCAATGACACTTCCAAGAGACAAAGTTGTTTTCTTTTCTTTCTAATGATGTCATCCAAATTCAATTTTTAGTTTTTCTTTTTAAGAATAACTCTCAATCTTTCCCTTACATTTTTTTTTTCTATCAATTTTATCAAATTAAAAATATAAACATGACTAAATAACGCAGTTTCCATCATAAAAATTATACAATTTAAGTGAGTGTTACTTTTTTAAAATTTAAATTGATAATTTTTAATAAATTATACTGAATGTAAGCGTGTAACATTGATGGAGTTACCTTAAACTCCTCGCAAGCGCCGTTATAGGAAAAAGGTGGTTATTCTGCATAGAGAACCCACTATAAAAGAGAGAGAAGAGAAGATAGCAAAACAGTGGGAATAGGCAGAGAGAGAGAGAGAGAGCAATGTTGTGAAGATATTATGTAAATGCATCAAAACAAAACACAAATTGAGATCGGAAAACAAAACTCTTCCGATTACAGAGCTTATTATTATTCAATAAACCAAAACCATAAAATCTCATACATTCAAAGCCAAACAGCCACAGCCCCTTACAAAAGACCCTCCCACACCCAATCCCACTCTCCTTCGCACCCGCAATCCCCAGCCCCTTCCAAACCCCGCCACGTCACCACTACCCACCCCTTCGCTTCCCTCTCCGCCGCCCCCCTCCGCCGCCACCTCCGCCACCTCCTCCTCCTCTCCCTCCCCTTCTTTTACTTCCTCCACCTTCTCTCCGCCTTCGCCTTCTCCGCCGCGCTCCTCTTGTCGCTCAGCCTCGCCGGGCCGCGCCTCCCCTCGCTCGGCCTCTTCCTCTCGCGCTTTCTCTCCCTCAAGCCCAAGGCCCGCCCCGTGCTGCCTCTGTTCTGGACGCTGGGGACCCGGGCCGAGACGGGCCAGACCCATGGGCTTTGGGTGGTGGCGTACTCGAACGGGGACGTGTACGAGGGGGAGTTTGAGAAGGGGAAGTGTTGGGGGAGTGGGGTTTATTACTACAGCATGAGTGGGAGGTACGAAGGGGATTGGGTGGATGGGAAGTACGATGGGTTTGGGGTGGAGATGTGGGCCCGGGGGAGCCGTTATCGTGGGCAGTACCGCCATGGGCTCCGCCATGGGTTTGGGGTTTATAGGTTTTACAGTGGAGATGTTTATGCTGGAGAATGGGCCAATGGACAGAGCCATGGGTGTGGGGTTCACACGTGCGAGGATGGGAGTAGGTATGTTGGGGAGTTCAAGTGGGGGGTTAAGCATGCCCTTGGACATTACCATTTTAGGTACCTTTTTTTGTTTGGCTTATAGTTTAGTATAATTAATTTTTATATTATTAATGCGTGTTTGGATTCATGTTTCGATGACTATGGATACACCTTTACTTCAATGCTACTGGTTGTAAATTTTGTTTGTAGTTGGCATGTGTGTTGTCTTTGTTTGTGGGGTTGCGTGAAGTGAAATTGTGCGTGTGCCTGTTATGTATTTGTGAATTGCTTTGGCAGGATCTTGGTGCTTGATTTTGGTATGTTTGTGAAGATAATTGGCTGTGATGTGTTATGAGTGTGTCTTCATTTTTTAGGGTTCCTTGTGATTAGAGGCTTCTCTTTGCTGTTGATTGTGTGTGTTGTTGCGTTGTTATTTGTATTTTGCACCTTGACAATCAAGAATGGTGTTGTTGCTGGTTTTATATGATGTAAACTGATCACGTCTGTCTGTTTTGATTTTTCTGTATATAATCTACAAACCTTTTAGGAGTTGCTCTGGCAGGATATTGATGCTTGTTGGCTCGTTGTTGGTATGTGTGTGTGTCTTCATTTGTAGAATTATTTGCAGTTAGAGTTGTGGGTTTTACTTTCTTGTTGCGTAGTTATTCGTGTTTCGCATTTGACCATCAAGAATGATGTTATTGTGGGATTTATTGGATGGAAACTGATCATCATGTGCCTGTTTTGTTTTTACTTTTTTTGCAGAGTTATGTATGAACATTTTAGGAGTTGCTTTTGGCCGGATATTGGTGCTTGATTTACTTTTGCACTTTGTCTTCAGTTTCATAAATTTGTGACAGTTTCTTCCTTCTGTGATACCCTTTTGCTGCTCTTTCTGACCATAGTCCATTTGTGTGTTGGTTTTTCATTTTTGTTGACTTGTTTAGTTATTGACGTTTAGCATTTGACAATCAAGAATGATGTTATGGTGGGTTTTATTGGATGTAAACTGATCACATGCCTGTTTTGTTTTGATTTGTTGTGCATAAACCTATGAGTTGCTTTGGTAGGATATCAGTTCTTGATTTACTTATGTACTTTGTCTTCTGTTTCATTGGTTTACCGCAATTTCATCCTTCTGTAACCTTTCACTGCTCTTTCTGTCCATGTGGTTTATGTTAGGGTTTATACCTCTCAAAGCTGCAAACAATAGGGTATTCCATTATAATAACACGTCAAATAGTCTGAGAGGACAAGTAACCTCTTATGTGATCTTCAGGTCACATAGCAATAAGTCCAACCATTTTGATGCTATGTAATGAAACCAGTCAGTGAGAACAATGACCATCTGTTCTCTGGTTAGTTTGCTTTGATAGATATTTTGTTGAGCATCTACATTGATACTTTCTGTTTTTCCTTTTCAAAAATGACTTTGCCGTCAGTATCAGTGAGTAGGATCCTTAGCATGCATTAAATGAAAATCAGTGTTTAATCCTATGATGCATGAACGCATTCTTCTGATTGTTTCTTGAATGTGGGGTTGCCTCTCCTCTAAGGAATAATCATTAGTGTGTTACTGTTGAATTGAAGGGCATTGTCTGCATCCTTTTTCTTTGCTAACCATAAGTGTTTTACTTTTGTTGGAACTAACTATTTCTGTTTTTATTAGAAATGGGGATACGTATGCTGGTGAATACTTTGCAGACAAGATGCATGGATTTGGGGTATATAGTTTCGCAAATGGCCATCATTATGAAGGAACCTGGCATGAAGGCAAAAGGCAAGGTCTTGGAATGTATACATTTAGAAATGGAGAAATCCAATCTGGCCATTGGAAGGATGGAGTCCTTGACATTCCGAGCACACAGCATGCCACCTATCCTGTTTCTCCTGTTGGTGTCAATCATTCCAAAGTACTTAATGCAGTGCAGGTAATGTTCTCTCCTGATTTATAATTAAAAAAAAAAGAAGATTTTTTCAATATTTTCTCTTTTATGTTTACACGTTGGCTTAGATTTATCAGTCTGGATGTTTCTGTTCTGTCATTGCCTGTTGCTTTGAATATGTTATGACAATAGCAGAATGATATCAATTTTTACTTTTGCTGTAAAATATGATCTGCTTTAGTTATACTTATGTTCTCTTGATTATTTAAGTTATTGGAAAATCAAAAAGGTATCCCTCATTCTTTCTTGTAATTTTTTATTACTAAATTTACAAAATCATTATATTAATTTTTTATGTTATATGGTTCATTTTAAATGTGTTCAAGGCTAGTCTCTTGTCACTGCATGTGAATATTTTTTAACCGAAAATGAAAGAAAATAAATGCTACACATCCAGGAAAAATTAGCCACAATTTTAACAGAATTCATCTGGATTCAAGGGCTGTTGTTGGATAAGATAAAATGGTAAAAATCTCTCATTTATCTAATAGTCAATAAGCAACTGTCTGCAATTTTCCTTATTGTTAAGGCTGAGAGTACGGACAGATAGTTGTACATTTTCTTTTATATGAATCAACTTAGCAGGTTCATATAGAAGGAAGAAAGTGGCAAAAATAACTGCAAACTGTGAATTTACATCATTACATGCTTTCATTATTAATTATGTCTTTCTTTGTGAACAAACAGGAAGCAAGAAGAGCAGCTGAAAAGGCCTATGATGTGGCCAAGGTAGATGAAAGGGTCAATAGAGCAGTAGCTGCCGCTAATAGAGCAGCCAATGCAGCTAGAGTAGCTGCTGTAAAGGCTGTCCAAAAGCAAATGCATCCTAATGTTAATGGTGAGAGCATCCAAATCCCGGCTGTGTGAACTTTTGTTTAGTAGTGATGCAAAAGATTTCATGGAGAGGTTGATTTATTGAATTGCTTCATGTACACTGTCATCATCACCACTGGCTGAAAGCAAGCAGATTTATTATCCATCTGCCATAAGTCTTGTATAGAGGGATGAAAGGTGATGGCTTCCATATGGTAAAAAAATAATGCATAGGTATATATTTTTAACTTTGCCTGTAAATTTATGATAGATGTAAATGGTGGTTTGTGGGTGAAACCTCAACCCAGCTACTGTTGTAAGATCGCTTGTGAAAATAAAATAAGGAGAGAAACTTATAGCAGAAAATGTTCTATTTCCCCAACTTGATATCTGCTTTCAGACTTTGGAATGAGATACGTTTTATGTTACCTGTAAACTAGAGTTTTCCATTGGTTTCATTCGGCACTGTATACTGTAAAATTGAATGTTAGTGATGCAAATGCTAACCAGTACCTTCAGGATATTGGTTGAAAAATCAAAAGTAGAAAGTACTACTAATACATTCAGATTACTGGTTAAAGAATAAAAAATATATAATATTACTAATGCACTTTTATCGTGTATTTTAATGTAATTTTTATTTCTTGATTCCTTATCTAAGGTCTAAAGGATATTATTGGTCAGCAAGATTTTATATCAATAATTTTTGTGTGGTGTAAAGGTTGGAAGCATGATCTTGATTGGCTTAAAGATTTGGATTCGATGTTCTGCTTTTCGTACCAAATTGTCTGCACCTTTTTTAATTGTTAGCTCAAAACAATCCTCTGTATATTTTGAGCTGCATCTTTGGTCAGTTGGAATGGTGTGCATTTGAAAGAAAGCCAAATTGCACTGTATTTAGACCAGCTTTATGATGTACTCTTTTTAATATATTATTAATTATTGGATAAAATTTATTAAAAATTACAAAAATGTTAAAAAATTATAAAATTAAGAGTGAGAAAGTGAGATTTATGTAACTTATATAGTTTTTAACAAATTTTTAACAATGTTAAGAAATATATTGGAAACATTTCTCCTTTGTTATTTCACATGCTTAGTGAGATTGTGGGTATCCAAAAAGCAATTGAGTTAAATGGAGAAAATTAAAAGTTTTGTGGAGGATGGTGATTTGACTAAAACGGATGCCAATCCACTGTCAGTGTAGTTTTAAAGCAGAAATTTAAATAAACAAAACAAGTAATGAGAAAATGATTAATTTTGTAGGTAAAAAATATATGAAATAAAGAGAAGGAAAAGGAAAAGTGAATTTTTCTCATCACTTATTTCCTTAAGAAGAAAGTAGAAAGAAATACATTTTTTTTCTTAAATGCATAGCTATATCTCTAAATTTGATACAATATCAATATTTTTCTTGTATTTCATTTATTTACTTTTTTGTGTTACTGATAAAATTTAAAATTGAAACCAAACAAAGCATTAGAAATCATGGAACTTTAATCTTGTAATAGTAGTTAAGAAAAATACTTGTAATATAATTTTTAACACAATCATTAATATTTTTTTTATTAAAATATATCGTTAACACTCTTAATTATCAAACATTAATCGATCATGGAGTGATAAGATCCGTAGTTGAGTTGGCTTTGTTCTTGTCTCTTGTATGAGCAATTGATATTTGATTATAATATTGAAGAGTTTGAAATTGAGACATCCCCATCAACTCTTCCTCTCTTGTCACCTCATCATACCCCATTGCATCAATCCTATCAACTCTCCATCCACCTTAGCTAATCTTATTATTAGTGTGTGTTCAAATTAATTTAATGGAGATAATTTTGAATTATGGAATATAATCAAGATACACACGTGTAAATCAATTAAAATTATATATTTGTATTAAAATACGCATTTTGTATTAAAAATGTGATAGTTAATTTCATAATTTAAAACAAATAAGGACTACAATAACTTTTAGTGTGTTTAATTTTCTAACAGTAAAGTAATAATTAATTATTTTTCTGACATACGTTATTTTCTTAAATAGAAAATAAAATAAGCATTTTGTCTTTTATATTGTTACTTCAATTTCACGCCTTCAAGGTTTAAGACATTTGGGTTGACCAAACGATTGTTTGTTTAAACTTAAAAAGTGTTTTTGTCATGACATTTTCTAAGGTTCATTGATGGTTTAGATTCTTGTGAGCACAAATGATGATCATGCACGATTAATGAAAGTGATTTTTTTTTCTCTTTCACAAATTCTATTTTTATTTTTTCAAATTAGAACTAGAATTCATTGAAAATTGTTAAGGTAAAGATGAAATATTCAGCTATTTTGGATAAGCTTCTAGATAAATATTTCTTAAAAATACTAATATAAAAATAAAAAATTATTAATTAAAATGTATATTTTTCAAAATTTAAAAAGTTAAATAAAAAAATTATAAATAATAACAAAATATAATTAATTTTAATTTATGAAATGAGTTTGATTTACTTATTAATACTTTTTTATTCTTATAAATATTTATTAGAAATTTTATCTACTGAGCCTTAAATTTGAGAACGACTGGGCTAGAATTCACTGAGAATTGTTAAGGCAATGATTAAATATTTAAGTTTGAGTGTTTAAGTAAAATAAAATAGAATGAAGTATCATCAAATAGATAAATTAAAAATACTATTTTATTATTTAAATATTTTATCATATTGTAAAAAAAAAATCACACTTCTCAGTTTAAAAAATAAAGGAGTTAAAAGTTTTATTATTATTATTATTGCTAATAACGGTAGCCAAATGTATTATATTTTATTTTAAATAACTTAAAATGTAATATAATTTTATTTCATCTAATTTTAAGCAATGAACATAGATAACCTGATTGATTGGGATTCATTACATTTCAATATCTATTTTAAATAGCCTTACAGCCACTCACTTGCCCTGCATATATCACTAAAGATGCTTTGTCTCTTAACCTAATCCTTTGTTTGTTTTAATTGGGAAAAAAATAAGAAGGATTTTTTTTTAAAAAAAAAAATTGGAATTAAAGAGAGGAGAATTTTTTCTGTGTAATTTTATTTTTAAAAAATAATTTTTTTCATTTTCATTTTATTAAATAAAAATATATATATTATTATATGTTTTCTTAGGTCATGATAGTTTGATTAGATTTGAGTTTTAGGGAGCAAATGGAAGATATTATAAAACTAATTTATTACTTCTGTAAGCACTTTTTAGTTTTTCATTATTATAAATTTCATTTTCTTTTAAATTTTTTTAAAAATTTGTTTTTAAAATTATAGGATAAGTTTTCATATAAAAATTTACTAAATATATTTAAGTTGTTTTTTTAAAATAGTTATGGTATGTTTAGATAAAAAGGAAAAAGGAAAAAAAGAGAGAGAGAATGAAAGAGAAAAAGGAAATAAAAAATAGAGTAAAAATAAAGTTAAAAAGATGGTTATTTGGTTCATAATTTTTTTCATTCTATTTTATGTTTGTATACATAAATACTATAAACAACTTTTTGTGTATGTATTTTCTCTGATTTTTGTACCAATCTTAGAAACCAAAAAATAAATGAAAACGAGGAGAAAGAATCGTAATTAAAAGTACAAACAGAAGATGAAAATAGAAAATGTTTTCAAAAACCAGACTAAAAGAATGAAATGAAAAAAATTGTTTAAATGAGTTGAAATAAAAGATAATAAAAATAAGTAGTTAAATTATATTAAAATTAATCATAAAAAGTTTAATCAAACTTTTTTCTAATTTTTTATTATCATATTTTTAATAAAATATTTTTAATTCTTTATATTATTTATAATTATAAAATATTACTTAATAAATCAGAAAAAATATATAATTATATAAATATACATATAATTTTATTAGATTATACGTACATTTGAAGATTTAACAACAACTCATTCATGTTTGAAATTGAGGCTTTAAAAACATCAAGTAATGTGTTTAAAAATACAGTTTTGTCCAAAAGTAAAATTTTTAAAACAAAAATAAATATTTATTTTACTTGTAAATTTGTGAGTTCTTGAAGTTCCGTGATCTAATCAAAAGTTTGCGGTGCTGGTGCTATCTTCACTCATAATCTGAAAGTGTTTACAAATAACAACTATTGATTTGTGCACTTAATAACAAATAACATAGCTACTGAGGAAGATAAAACTCTATTATAAGACTCAATTATTGAACTTGTGATGTTTCTTAAGAAAGATAAATTCTTTGACACTAGAACTAAGAACCGCTGCTTCTCTTCACTCGAATTAATTACCTTGTGAAAGATACGTAAGAAACTGAAATAAATAATAAAAAAAGAGAACTTTACCAACATTTTATTAAAAATAATTGTAAGAAACTAGTAGCACATCTAATTATTTGAACCTCTTAAAATAATGTTTTAAGTCTTTAATACAATTCATTGTATGCACACAAAAAAATTGGATTTCTCGTCTCATTAAAAGGAGTAAGGCCAACTACAAATTTTAAAACAAAGTTAATTTTAATGAGAAAAACATCTACAAGTTAATATAGGCGTGTGCCCTCCTGTATTTCTCTACTTATTTACATTTCTTCTTTTCAACTATCATGATTTAAGTTCGTACAAGTAACGCCTCAATTATCAGAATTTATTTACAGTGCTATTTAAAAACAAAAATCTTCAAATTTTGTCCATTTTATATGCAATCAGAGTGCAAAAGCTTGGTTGGATTTTATGTTAACAATGGTGCAAATTCCAAAATAATGGCTGTATTTGAATGACTCCAAAAGTGAAATTTATAGTTCTAGTACTATCACTTAACATGTTTTGGCACTCAGTTGGTTGAAAGCAGTAACACTTTTCAACCTCTGTCACCAACTAAAATACATGAAATATGTCCTCAACAATGAAATGACAACATTTGAAGCTGGGTCGCACTTTTGTGGTTGCTATCACAAGGAAAACATTGTTATTTGACCTTGCATTTTTCAGGAGCTAAATGCCTAAAATATGTTAAGTTATACACAGTACTAGAAGTATAAATTTCTTGTAAGAACAAAATGAAATGTGTAAACTGCTTTCAACCAACCAAGTAATGCAAGGTTAATGAGTAGAAGTATAAATTTGAAGATAAAATCCAAATACAGTTTACACCGTTTAGAACGTCAGATAACTCGAGAAAATGGAAACTAGTAGCATTCAAGAATGTGAAGTAGCATTACTGATATACCTAACAAAATTCCACCAAACGTTGCTTTTCATCAACTATCCAAACAAAGTATGATAATTTTAAAATAACAAAATTTAGGCTTAGCTTCTGAAACAAAATGGAAAGTGTAAACTCCTTTCAACCCTCAGTCTGCTCTCTCAGCCTCCGGATGGTGCTTCGGACAGTCACAGCACTGGCGGTGCTGTCAAAAAGAACACACAAAAACAAATCATATCCATAACAACAAACAAATAGAAAGTAACGAAAAGGAAAACAAGACTCGGGGAAGATTCTTACTTCAATGTGTAAGCACCTCCAGCTTTCACTTTTCCACAATCTTTGCAGCCCCAAATACCCACAGCCTTTCTCTTAACTGCATACTGAATGAACACAAAACATAGCATTAATAATGATCTTAAGCTCTAGTTAATAATGATCACAAAAATCATTAGACACAAAAATAATACCTTTCCACAGAACTCGCAGAAGAATTTACTGTGTTGACTCACTTCCATCTTCTTAATTTGCTTCCTTAAACTAGCACCATATCGGGTGCCTAAAATTTGATTGCGAGCATAGGTCAGCACCTTACTCGAGTTAGGACACATACAAAATAACATAAACACTAAAAGCTACTCTAAAGTAAATTTGTCTCTAACAAGTAGAAGGGTATCAACCAGCACTGATTTAATTTGAAACACATCATTATCTTAACGCAGAGATTCAAAGGCAAATGCACTTGTACTTGTGTACTTTAGGGACAAGTTCTCTTTAAATAACCTCATCCAACTTAAGTATGCGCGACACAACCAAGTCAGACACCCAAAGAAAACATATAATTGACTGCATTTTGCTGAAAAAGCTGAAATAAATCACTCTTTGATAGACAAAGCTTTCAACATTTTATAAAGGAACATACAAAAAGGAAAACCATAATGTATATAATACAAACAATAAAAAGTAAATGACATATTAACCTCTCCAGCAATTTAGACCTTGCTTGTTTTATCTAATGAAAAACACAAGTTCCAATAAAAACTGTGATTCAGATTAATTTATACACGCATCTCAATCATATTCAACAACTCAGCATCAATTTTATCAAAATTTATTTTACTCAAACCAAGCAAGCCGTAATTTAGATAACAAAAGAAACCGGTGTCATTCCTGATACTCAAACAAATCACTATGATTCACACGTCATACTCAAACTATTTTTACTTCTATTTCTACTCTATCATATTATTTTCATTATATTTTCTGTTTAAAAAAATTATACAAAAAAAAATCAGTATAAATTTATGAAATCAGAAAACATAATGAAGATAAAACAATAATCCCTGAAAGCACGTACCGTATTTTCCAACAATACCAGCCTTCTTGGTTCTCTTTGTCTGCAACAATGATGTCAAATACAGAAAACATAAATAACATAATAATGTTGAAATATGGAAACAGTACAACGTGTGATTTCCCGAAACCTTAAAATTGCAGAACCCAATAACAGATAGAGAAAGAGATTACCATTTTGACGTGCTGTGTATGAGAAAAGGGATCCCTTCAACTTTGAGGCGCGGCTGCTACACGTTACGAAGGAACGAGGGTTTCCCAGTATAAACACTTGTTATAAGGGGACAACCACTAAGTTTTTTTTTCACAAATGGGATTTCCATTAAAAGACAGAAAGGCCCAATAACAATAGTGGGCCTCATGCAGCCCATAGTTAAAAGCCCATTTCAGCTTGTTAATAAGACTCACAACTGATAACTTTTTGTTGACAAAAACACAATGATAAATTTTAGTTGAACAAAAAAGAGGATAAATTGTTCAATTTCAGGACAAAAAAATTGATGTACCATTTGGGAAATTGGGATATAAAGATTTGTTTCAGATTAACAAATTCAAGACAGAAAACACAAAAATTTAGTTAGAATGAAAAGTGATTGAGAAGTATTAGTATCATATTATTTTTAAAACAAATTAGGTAATATACCCATTCTGGAATATTTATATATAATATCAAATATAATTAAAATTATATTTGTTAATCTATTTAAATATATTTTAATAAATAAATTTATATTGGTAACGAAATTATAAAATAATATGTAATCAAAACTTTTTAGTGTATATATTCAACTTTTAAAATAGAATCGGAAATCTGATTGGTTAATTCAATTTTTTTATTTACATAGTTTGAATCTACTTTAATTAGTTTGTAGACAATTTTATTATTGAGAAACTAAAATTACGTGTTATTTTATTAAATTGGTATATTTTTTTCATACTCTGTCATTAAATTAAACTAATTTTTGAATTAAATAATGAGAAATATATATTATATGACTATTTTAAAATCTAATCTGTTAAAAATAGTAAATATTGTAATACTTATTAATGATAAATATTCTAGTATATTAAATAAATTAAAAAATTTTAAATTAATATCAAATTAAAATGAATATATAACATGGAAAAACCTTCTTGGCATAATGAAAAAATTATTATAAAAATCCTTCCATTATTTGAGAGTTTGTTCTTTTTCTTATTATACTAAGTAATTTTTATTTTTTTAAACTTTAAACAATCATTTTAAAGTTAATATTAATTTAAAATTTTCATAATTTAATTTTTTATTTAGGGTAACTATTTTTTTGAGATACATCCTGTTATTTTAATATATTTTAAAGTTTATTATTAGTTGAGATCAATTTAAAGTTGTTATTGAGTCTCACATTTTTTATTATAATTGATAGTATAATTGGTTGTTCTAATTAGAATTTTGTTTTGGTCCAAAATAATCACATAACCTTCATGGAAGAAGGTTCTTTCATCACTAAGAAAAGAACCATCTATTGGCAACACAAAACACTACACAGCTCATGAATGCACTTGAAATCAATAGAAAGACCCCACTCCCACTTGCTCCCACACAACCATCTATTGGCAAGAAAAGCCATTGTTGCAATGCTAATGAGTTAGAACTTACAATGCTAATACCTTTGTTGCTTTTTCTACTTTCTCTACTCTATGGTCAAAAGATTGACATGATTTTTCATTTTCTTCTGTACTAAGTGTACATTACTTTTCATATTATTAAAATGTTAACCTGTTGTTCCTGAGTTAGAATAATGTGTTTTCCAAATTCAAAGATTATTTATTTGTATTCAATACTTATTATATAATATAATAAAAATATGCACTTTTGCAGTTAAATCTTATAACAAAATAAAAAGAAAAATAATGTGACATTAAGCTAATTAAAGAAAAAAACAATGTAACGAATAACTGGAAAAAAAAAACAATTGAAGTTCACATTCAAATATTATTGACTTTATTTTTTGAAAAAAATTTAAAGGTAAAAAAATATATTTTCTCTAAACTATCATTCTAGAGAATAAGTGAAAAGTTATAACTACTATAAAAATTTGATAATTGAAATTTATATAATTACATAAATTATTATATGTGCGTATATTTAATTACAATATCAATTATTAATTTTTTTAACTGATCACTATAACTATTTATTTTAGAGAGATTAAATTATAAAATGATGGATTTTTAAAAAAAATAAAAATATTTAGTTATTTAGTAAACCAATATTCTTTATCAAATTTTTTTAAAATATAATTATTAAATAAAATAAATTTATTAGAAGTTTAATGTAAGAACACGATTGACCTTATCATTGAACTGGCCCTATAAATGTTTTTAATAAAAAAAAAAAAGCAAAAGTAATAATACAAGAATCAATATTTAAATTGATAATTTTTTTTAATTTAAAAAAATCATTTTATTCAGTTTGATGCATATAATATGTCTCTTAATAACCATTTAAAAAAGTGGATAATCAGTGCATATATCATTTTTTTAGAACCACATAATTATTAGAAACTAAAAGCAATGAATACTGAAAAAATTAAAAATAAAAATTCATAAAAATATAAATAAAAAATATACTTAAACATAGAATTTGAACGTTCAGAATTGGACTAAACCAATTGCTTATCTTAAATAATTAAAAATGACAGAAGCATTTGGCAAACATGTTCCTCCAATGGCCAGACAAGAAGAATAAAGATACATTATTTTTGATCAATTATTTCATCATTACTATTATTCTTTATTTATTCTCTTATTTTTCAGTTCATCTTTGCTTTTTTCATATTCCAAGCACTTAATCTTGTGATCTTGACATCGACAGTTCCATTGTTGAACGCATGCAAGTGTGCTTCATCATTGACTGCTAACGTGGGATAAACTCTTGCTGTGATGCATCCTTTTCCTTCTCCTCCAAAACTTTCCACTACAGAGTGATCTATCTATGATAAAGATAGCCATGCAAATAGTTCTTAGATGTTTATCCATTATAGTAAACAAGTTCTTTACCTATATCACTCACTTTACTATAACAAATGTTGTTGAAGTAAGAAAGAATTAAAATCTATGTTCATGAATCATTTGAATTCAATTCATTAAATGTTCATTTTGTTTGGGAAAATTAATGAGTTCAAACTTAAAAATACTTTCAACTATTTAAATGAGGTTTGTAAATTAATAATAAATAATTTATGAATAGTTTGTATGTATATATTATTTAGATAATTAAAAATTCATTTGAAAGATTTAATCAATTTATGATTTAAATTTTATTAATGCTTATCTTATAAATATCAATTACCTCATTCTAATTCGAAAAGTTTTATTTTAAATAAGAAGACACACGAACCTTATTAAAAATAGTCTACTTTTCCTTTTATTTATCATTTTTATGAATATAAAATTACATTTAGTTTTTGCATCTTCTAACATAAAGGTGTTTACCAAATATTAAATAAATTTTCAACGAAAAATTTAATCAAAAATAAATTATAAATGAACTCAAATAATCATGTCTTGTTTTTCTAATACTTTAAAACTTTAAATAAATGAGTATAAGATTGAATAATTTTCTACATATTAAACATGACTTCAAGTGTTTGATTCAATTCAACTTATATTGTTAATTGAGATAATCTATAATTAAGCACACATTAAAATAATTATTTTTTTTTGTATTAGAATTAGGTTAACACACAATAAATATTTTAAATTTCAGTCAAATATAAATTTATCCTGTCATTTTATTAATGTGATTTCATTTCATTTAGTAAAGGTACCAATTGATGAGAATAACTGAATAAGTTAGAAAAATGTAACTAAAGTTTTTTAGTTTTACGACATTGATATATAATTAAAAACAAAACTAAAACTTCTAAAACAAAAGTTGTCAATTTTTTCCTTTTTTTTTTTGATCTATTCTTTTTAAAAGTAAAATAAATTATTTGTTAACATAAGTTTTAGTTTTATTTTCTTTTAAAAATAGCTTTTTAAAATTATTTGAATATATAATTTTTAAAAATTAAAAAGCAACCCAGTACCAAACCAGCTATTAATTTTCCTTTTCTCTTCTATTTTGAAAAAGTAAATGTAAATTTAAGCTTAAAAAGCTATATTTAAGATAAAAATTTATATGGGTTAAATCTTAAACGATATTAACTTATTTGTGATAGTGCATCATATATATGGGTTCATTACAATTAACATACCAAGCTTCTTAGAGACAACTGCTCATGAACAGGGTCCACATCCACAAAAGTTCCATAAGTGGTAAAGTCATTGTTGAGATTCAAAGAAGACCTACAAAGATTTGGTTAAAAGTGGCAATTAGGTAAGAATTTGATGGATAGTGAAACAGGAAGCATGTGTGTACCTGCTTTGGTCACTGCACATGAGCACCATGTATTTGTTGTTTGCTCTAAATACCTTAAAGAACACTGAAGTGTATTCTTGCATGCCCTTTGAAGCCAAAACTAGTAAACCAAAAGGTCCCAATCCCCCTTTTACTTTTGTACCATTTCCACTACAAAGAAGTTGAGGGTCCATTTTCCAACTAGGGTCCAATTCTTGTGCCTTTTCAAGATCATTCACTTCAAATGAAATTTCAACATCAGCCTGCAGGGGAAATTGAATGAGAATTTACCAAATCTTGCACGTTTAGTCACATCCTCAATAATTGTGTGTTGCAATCAATTTTCTTGTTGTGCTGGCTTCCACTTTTTCACTTGTTTAAATGTTAATTGAGGGAAAAAAAACTTGTTTTCAACCACTTTTTCACATACATTTTGTGGACTTCCAATTTATGTGAGATTCACAAACCTAATTGAGTAAAATGTATAAACACATTTAGAATGTATAAGCTATTTTCGATAGTTCTTCAAAAATGTACGTTTATGATTGCTAGATATAGAACTAAACATGCACTAAAATATAATTTGGAATCACTTATTTCATTAAAAATTATTTACTTTTTACAAAACTTTTCAAAAAAAAATTTAAAAAGTGCTTCTTTAATAATTTTCAAAATAAATTCTTCCAAGTTACTAACCTGTGATGCCACCACCCCAGAAACTTCAAGCAATGTGCCACCCTTTAGATTTTTGGAATACAAGTTGACAGGGTTGGTACGTAGTTTTTCAATTTCCTCTATAGGCCATTGGATCAATTGCTTCCCAGAGTTATGAAGCCAAAGAGTTCTAGGAATTGCCTACAAATTCAATTGCATGTATGTTTAGATAATAATTGTTGTTATCGATTTGGTTAATCTGTAGTGTGCATTCAAGTTCATGAGTTGAATAAGCAAATTTCAAGTCAAATTCCACTTCAGTTAGTCTGTGAATTAGATATATATTACCTGAATTCCAGACCATCCTTTGTGAATGTCATCTTCTTGAATTGAAGATTCATTAATCCAACCCCATAACACCCTTCTCTTTTTAGCATCATCATAAAATGTTTTGGATGCATAAAACTTTCCATAATCATATCTTGGGACTAAGGACAAGTCATTGTGCTCAAATCCCTCATCAGGAATAAAGATATCTTTGGTTGTGTCATAAGTTCCAATTAGATAATAATCATGTGAAACATCAAATAAGCTAACCTTAAGCACATGCCTAATGCGAGGTCCATTAATTGATGTGTCAAGGCCAATTGTGCCGTTGGTCAACACAGGAAAAAAATCAGGGCACTCCCACATTCCAATTCTTTTGGCTGAATGCAAAGGGTATTTGGCTTGAATCCAATGAACAAAATCTTTGCTTAGGAATAAAAGTGCCACACCCTTATCACCTTCTTGGCTTCCCACTACTACTCTCCACCAATTGTCATGACCAAGCCATGCAGTGGTGGGATCTCTAAATGAGGTTGCATTGATTTTGTTTGCATTAGAAGGTGCCATTATAGGGTTCTTGGGTGATTTTACCCATTCCCTAAGAAATGGGTCAGACTCATTTTTTGGTACAACCAAGTTTTGAGTTTGATGTTGCTTGTAGTCAATTCCTGTGTATAAAATGACTGGTTTGCCTCTAGAGTTTACTATAGTGGCTGAACCTGACCAACAACCATTTATATCATAAGGTTCAGTTGGGGTAAGAGCATGTTGCAATGAGAACCAGTTCACAAGATCCATTGAAACAGAGTGGCCCCAAACTGTACTGTTGTTACTCCATATTGCACCTTTTGGATTGTGTTGGTAGAACATATGGTAGAGTCCCTTGTATCTCATTGGCCCTAATTAACAAGCAAAAGCATGTTTAGCATATTTTTAAGCTAAGGCAAAAGAACTCACAATTAAAAGAATTTTGATTTTTGCAAGAATTCTTCATCATCTACTGATAATTAATAAACAAGTTCAAAAGAGACCATGTTGATTAAATAACATATTTTTTTAATTTAGTTTAGTACTCTCAATGATTTGCAGAATAATATAATTTTGTAGCTCAACATATATGATGAATTGATAACACCTCTGATCATGATAGGATAGAGCATGTGCAATACTGTTTTTTTAGAATTTAATTTTGATACATTGTGCTACTATTGTCTAACTTTATGACCTTGTTAATGAACCTTAATATATTAACACAGTTGTTATGTAAAGTATTAAATTTATTATATTTTTATTTTAATTACACTTTTAATCTCTATATTTTAGTATAGAGATATATTAACAGTTGTTATGTAAAGTATTAAAGTATTAAATTTATTATATTTTTATTAATTTCTTGCATTTAACCTTTCTAATTTTTAATTGTACAAACTAGCTCTCTCATTCCAAAATTTTGTCTAATTATTAATAAAAACACAATAATGATACGACACATTGTTAAATTATATAAATTAATAGAGAAAAATATATAAAATATTTAAATAAAAATATCAATAAAATGTATAAAATTTAATAAATAATTTTTTATTAGTTAATTATTGTATATGTTTTTTTCAAATTTGTATAAATTAATTATCTATTACATATTTATTAAAAATTTATTAATTATTGAATAGAATTTTAGACTTAATTTGAACAATTTAAAGTTAGAAAGACTAAATATAAGCAATTAAATTAAAAAAAAATCACAATCTCACATAAATTTAAGTATACAAACAAAAATACAATTACATTTATATTTTTCTTCACATCCAAAAGCTTTATGATATAGTTTTGTAAGTTTAGGCTCTGTTCACTTGTCGCACTAGCCTTTCCTATATCTATCTACCTTGAATTTTCTTTCGTCCTTTTCTGGGCATTTATCTGATTGAGTGTTCTTGCTGGAAATGAACAACTTAGTGTCTTTGTTTTAAATTTACTTATGTATGCAAATTAGCTTTTATATTCATTAAAAGAACCCAAAAAAAGACTAGAAATGAAATAGGGTCAAAGTAGAACTAACCATTAGGATCTGCAAGTCCATTTCACCATACATATCATGCAAAAACAAAGAAGGAAAGAGTTAGAAAAATAAAGAGAATATAAGGAGTTTAACAAGCATTTGATGAAGTTAAAGCTAAGTTTAATGAAGTACCATTCATCCAATTCTTGGAAGGTTGGAAGTGAAAAGATGGTCTATATGTTTGGTTGAAGTTGGAAGAATGAGTTTGATAGAAAGCTTCAATGGGAGCAACACCATAGCCAAGAAGAAAGGGAAGCATAGCCATCAACCAAATTGAAAAAATGGCCATGTTAAGGAACTTAGTGGGAATAACATTGTAGGTTTATGCACCTATTTATAGCAAGAAGAATCCATTGTATTTAAATTATAGGGAAAACAAGTTCATAACAAGGATTGCTTTTTGGAATTCTCAAATTAAGTAATTGCTTTTTGGAATTCTCAAATTAAGTCATGTTTCAAGGATTTTCTTAAACTTTAGAAGGTTTAATTTTGATTTTTAAATTCCTTTAAATTTCAAGTAATATTATGTATTTATTTAGTTTAAATATGTTTGTGGTGTCCATATATATTTTTTTAATCAAATTTTATTTTAATTATTTTTTAGTTTCTAGTATTTTGAAATTCAATATTTTTAATCTTTAATGATGACTTGGTCTCACAAAATTGATATATGGTATAAAAAACTGAGATGCGGTAACTTTTTAACTAACCACATCATCATTAAAAATTTTAAATTTAAAAAACAGAAACTAAAATAAAAAAAATAAAATCCAAATCTCATAGTAAGAGCTTATTTTTACTCCATTAGGTATGGGAAATGGATGAAGACATTATTTAATTACAAGTCCTTGCATTAATTTCAAATGATATTATCAAATAACATTATTTTATATATAATTTGGAAAATATATTGTACCTTTTATGTCATTATAATTATTCTAAGAATTGAAAATATATTGAAAATGGTGATCTTGTTGAGAGCTCAATAATCTTTACAAAAGAATAATTTTAAATTCTTCTACTCTTTATTCTTTAAATCCTTTTAGTTAAATAAATAAAATAAAATAATATTTTATATAAAGTAAAAAAAAAATTGAACGTGATTTGAGCATCCATAATATTTAAATTAAAGATGTATTTTATATTGTAATTTGATTTAACTTTTATCATTAAAATCGAATCAGATCAAAGTAAATTACATTTTTTATAATTTTAAATTATATTTTTATAATTTAGAGGAAAAAAGTTAGTTGTAAAAGTAACAGTTGACTGTGGTCTGTGATACTCTGATTTGTTTTTGTGGGCTTATCCAAGTATCGTAGCCCCTACCATACCCTAATTTTCTTTCTTCAAACCGCGCGCGCTCCTCACTTCCACTTCGTCCTCCGACTACGTTGCCGGAAATTGCCGCGGCGGCGCTCCTTGTCGCCGCAGCTCCGTTCTCTCTCTCTTCTCAAACCCTAGAGAGAGCAAAATTCTAAAACCCTGAAATTCGAAAACCCTAATTCTCTTGTCGAGTTCGTAGGATAGTTACAGCCATGTATGGCGGTGGTGAGTGTGAAACCAATTCTTCTTCTTCTTCTTCTTGCATGATGTGCACTCAATCTTCTTAATTGGCTTGAATTAACAGATGAAGTATCAGCAATAGTAATTGACTTGGGTTCACACACTTGTAAAGCTGGTTATGCTGGTGAAGATGCCCCCAAGGCTGTGTTTCCCTCTGTAAGTGTGTTTGCTACACTTTCTCTTTATATGTGGCTGCATTTTTTTATTTTTGTTGTGTTTTCTGTTTTACTGATATTGTGAATGGCTTATAGATTGCTCTCTCTTTTTGTTTTGTTTTGTTTTTTTGTCGGTAGCATGAAAGTGTTATTGTGCTCTCAGTTGATAATGAAGTGTGCACTGGCATCTTCTGTGGTCATTGGCTATTACTGCTTGATAGTGTAATTAGGTGCATGAATAATTTATAGTTCGTTAGAATAAAATCTGGAAAATTTATGGAGGTTTAATCATTGATTATGAATTGGTGGTTGTCTTGGCATGTGTGAACTTAGGTTGCTGGGGCAATTGATCAAATGGATGTTGATGAAGCAGATAATGCTGAAAAGAACTCTGCCTCTCCTGCGGAATCCAAGAACAATCTTAGAAATGCTGATTCTGATAAGGGCAAGGGAAAGAGGAAACTGTATGTAGGATCCCAGTCCTTGGGGTACCGTAGAGACCATATGGAGGTAACCTTTTTAATGGTTTTCTTGATTAGGCTCGGATTAGTAATTTAAGGACTTTTTATATACTGAATAGTTGTAGTTGTAACTTGTTGGTTTCTTCCAATGCTCTCAGGTGCTGTCTCCGTTTAAGGATGGAATTGTTGCTGACTGGGATATTGTTGACAGCATATGGGATCATGCCTTCAGGTCAATACTGATTCTATAATCAGACTATGATCTGTGTTGTAGGAGTTGATTATTGTTTTGATTTCTACAATTGTTTTTTTCATAGCATATGTGAATGGCATTTGTTTAGGTTCTTTGGCAGCACTGGTGATTCCTTTTTTAATTAAAATCCCTTGATGATTCTTTTCATAAGCAATGGTCTCATTCCCATGAGTAGTTGACCTGTAAGTCTGTTAACTGTATCTCTAAACTCTAAAGTACAAAAATACACAAGACATTCAATTAGGATTGGATGGATAATTAGTCTTTGATACTTGATAGCAAGGTAGTTAACATCGTAAATCAAATCATAATATTTGACAAAATTCATATATACGCTTATAAATTCATATTATGAATATAAAATAGCATCAATTAGTAAAACAACCTTTAAATCAGTAAAAGCACTTAAGTAAAGTAGCACTCACAAATCATAATTTGTATTCTATAAGAATGTCATGCATCGGCATGAGTAAAAGTAGACCAGAACAGAAAAGATGCAAGAACAACAGCACTAGACTCAAAGTCAGCAATAGCAAACTGCTGCACACACTGGGAGGACTGTTTAATTGACAACGACATTAGGGTTCAAAACTGTTAGAGGCAAATTGGGTGAAAAGAGATATGAAAGAGGCGTCAAGTACATTAGGTTTCAACAAATGAGACTTTTCGAGGAAGTTTCAGAATCAAAGTGAAATTGTAAAATCTCACAATTTGAGGGATTTTACCATTTAAATTGGGATTTTACAACGATTTTACTCAACCATGATTTAAATCGGTAAGGCTTCCAAAATTGTAAAATTGTAGGATTATATGATTCAAATTGGGATTTTCATTACCATGCTTGATAGTAATTAAGATTCTTCTCCAAATATTAGTGATCCATACGCCATATCATAAAGTTCATCAAAGTGTCTTTTGGGATGGCTGGTTAAGACCTGATTCAACTGTGCCTTTTTAAGTAAAGATGGACAACAAAACATGACCTAGGGATAGTTAGCAAGTGTAAAGTAGCAATATTTGGGATCACATCAAATCACAAGTTGCACATTTTAGTTACTTTGGATATGTCCTACAAAATGGTTAAGTGGAATAAGGCTTCTTGTTGGTGGTGGCTCTTTTTGCAAACATGGTTAAGTGGAATTTGTTAACGGTGTAATGCTTCTTTTTCCCTTGTTTTTGATGGTTCCATTTAATTTTTGTAAGTTGTTATGTCATATACCTTAGGAATTATTTTATTCGTCACTGGGCTAGCTTTCATTTTTTTCGGTAGGGAGTGCCTATTGATTGATCCTAAAGAGCATCCTATGCTCCTTGCAGAGCCTTCCTCTAACTCTCAACAGCAGAGAGAAAGGTATTCTCATTATAATTTATTCTCTAGAATCAATACAGCTCAATTTAAAGCATTGATTTGTATAATTCAGTTTTTTTATTATTGCAGGACAGCAGAGCTTATGTTTGAGAAGTACAAAGCACCTGCCTTGTTCTTGGCAAAGAATGCTGTTAGTTCTTCACTGACCTATGCCTATAACTTGCATAATATATGTTATCGAGTGAGGATGAAAAACTACTGAAAATTTAATCCATGTATTTGATGTACAGGTTTTGACTTCTTTTGCATCAGGGCGTGCTACATCATTAGTTGTTGATAGGTAAGAGATCATGAGGTTATTGAATTGTAGTTTTGTTCTTACTGTGTGGTAGTATCAATACGGACATGATCTTTTTCTACATTTCTAAATATCAATTGCTTACTTTTTAAGATATTATGTATGGAATACCTGAGTCATAGTTGTCTTGTTTCATTATTTGTACATGTCCTACATTTGCGAAATATAGTAGGATGATAGGAATTTGGGTTTAGAGAAAAAAAATATAATGGTGATCAAGCTCCTTACAAGCAGAGGTAGCTTTCAGTTGAGACTGAAATCACAAAGAAAGTGAAGGAAAAGAAATAAAATAACGGGAGATTTTGGAGAGACACAACACCCCACCCATCCCAAAACCTCTGCTCCTTTCTCAATTCTTTCCTACCTCTCCCAGATTCTTCCCTCCCCCTTTTTCCTTACTCCTAACCAACTCCCTCATTTTTCCACATTAAATGCTATGTAGTCAATCTTGTGTGGATTGTTACAACCCTTTGCAATGTAAATTCCTCTTCTGTTCCACTTACATTATCCTAAGTAGTAGTCATATACTTTTATGAGGCCCTATAGAGAACATCGCTGCATTAGACTTTGCTTTAGTAGGAGGATAAAGGAAATTTTATTTATGTAATTGCAATCAAAGAGTTGAGAATGACACATAATAAAATATATCTTTGTATTTTCGTTCTGGAATATTTTTCTTAGTTATAACAGTTAACGGAGAAATAAAATATCAAGAGGCTTTTACTTATTCTGAAACGAATGTTGTAAAATAAATGAGTGAACTGTGTATCTTCAGTTGCAGAATTAAAGTCAAAGTTTCTTTATAATGTATAATTTTACATGTCTAAACTCAAAGATTTTTTGTTTTGCTGCTTGACCATTTATGGTCATCATTTGGGTTTGGTAATAAGCAACTTGAAAAGGAGAGGGAAATAGAGCAACCTTTAAAGTTTAATATATTTGTTCTATATTTATTACTTTTAATATGTCATATATAATACTGGACGGAAGCATTTGCTGATGAGAAGTTTTCTTCAATAATCTGTTGTCTCAGTGGTGGAGGATCAACTACAATTGCACCGGTACATGATGGTTATGTTCTTCAAAAGGTATTTCTTATTAATGAATCACGTAGAATTCACTTGATAGCATGTAACTGAATTGATCCATATTTTGATTGAAATTTCAATATTTAGTTTGTTATCCAATTTCTTGTGTGACTTTAATTGTTCCAGCTACCTGAGTTGATCTAATTTCTTTTATCCACTGCTCTTTTTGATTGTAGAAAGGTTTTAAGGCTTAAATGGTGAAGCAGGTTATAGATATATTTGAAACAATGTGATTATTTGATTAATAATTGGATTTATATAATTAAATATATGAAAGCAAATCTCAAAAAATAACCTGGTGGTAAAGTCTTCTAACAGTGTAATTGCTATTTTTGCCAATTAGTAATAAATAGATTTATAATTGTGTAGTCAAATGCAAAGAACAGCTATATATAAGCTATCATTTGTATACTACTACTCAATCATTAGTCATTATGTTTTACAAATATACAACTATTCAAAATTGTAAGACAGACTGGCTGTGTATGTGAGGCACTAATGCTTGCCTAGGTAATGTTTCTGAATGTGAGTCTGCATATTCATGTCTAAGAATTTAAGATCTCATTGTACTCAATATTTATGTTTGAAATTTGACTAATGCTATTTGTCTTTCTGTCTGCTCGTATTTTCTACTTTGTCTACAACATAAGGCTGTGGCAACCTCTCCAATTGGAGGAGAATTTCTTACAGACTGCTTGATGAAAAGCTTGGAAAGCAAGGGTGTCGTGGTGGGTAAACATTAGCTATTATAATTGTCAGTGATCATCTGACATAAAATTGCTGTGATTTTATCTGTCTGATATTTCCCCTTTTTTTGTTTGTCACAGATAAAACCACGGTATTCCTTTAGGAGAAAGGAAATACGCCCTGGAGAGTTTCAGGTATGATATGTTTTCCTTTTAATGATCTGTGAGTAACATGACTTTTTTTCATTGTTTTCCCTAAATTTTGAACTTGGGCAGTGTGGGGTTCCATCCCTTGTGTATTGTATGTACTATTTGTGCCTTCAGCACATCCGATGGTTTCAATAATTCATTTTTTCCATCTCTTTTATCTGAGTGGTCTTCTCAAATCTTGGTCAATTGTGGATCAAATTCTGTTACATTTGCATGTGCCAGTACACTGCTGCTAGTGACATGAACTGAATAATATACCTCATGTTAGCAAATTAATTTTATACTTAAGGTATCAAAGAGTGAATGGTGTTAGTAGATATAGAAGGGTGCGAACAAAAGATAGTTTGAGGTGTAATTATCTTAATTTACTTTATTTGTTTCAATTACATACATAACCCTGCATCTTTTTGGATACCTTTATCAGTTCCACTGAATTTGGTTTCATGCATTTACCTTTCAATATGATGTTGGCTGTAAGTGCAATTCTATGCATAAATGATTATTATTTCTTATTATCTTTTTATTTTTCTGAATCCCAACAGACTGTAGATCTTAATTTTCCAAATACAACTGAAAGCTACAAACTCTACTCCCAGGTCTGTGAATGACCATGTAATATCTGATTACTTGTTGCATTTCTTTTAACTGATGACCGTTGTCTTATGACAGAGGGTGATTGGTAGTGATATCAAGGAATGTGTGTGCCGTGCTCCAGATACTCCATATGATGGTTCGTCTACCTCTTGTTCTCATCTCATATAACATTTTGCATCTTACTGGCCCTGTGCTTGTGTTTGAATCTTAGTAGTCCTGTGCTTGAGTACTTTTGTTTTTTCAAAGGCATTTGTGGATAAAGTTTCCTAGTTTTTATGGTGGCATTGGCGTATTTTTATTTTTTTTTTCCTCCTTTCTTTCTCTATGTATACCTTAGATAACTTGATTGGTCATGCCTCTTGTGATGTGATTGGCTTTATTTGGTCTTTGTGCTTTCATTTTGGTCACATATGATGATTTTTCAATGACAAGCTTATATAGATCTTTTTAGTTAGTTCTTTATAGCTCTAGAAGATGCTTTTAACGTTGTAGTTCCAATAGAATTGTGGTTTTTGTGTGTGACTTCCATTTTTCCTCTTTATTTGACAGAGAGTGCATATTCAAACATCCCAATGACCCCATATGAGCTTCCTGATGGCCAGTAAGTTGAAGTCATTCTTGTTGATTGGAACAGTGAGGAGGGTGGAATAAATGAAGTTTCAAAATGCCTTCTTTTATGTGCTACCACATACTTCATAGCCTAATTGTTGCTTTTGGTTTATCTGTAATTTAATTGTCAGAGGTGGTTGTTTGTGACATGCTTTTTATTTAGGACAATTGAAATTGGAGCTGACAGATTTAAAATTCCAGATGTTCTTTTCAATCCGTCTCTGGTTCAGGTGTGTGACTTGCACTCAAAGATGTGAATAATTTACTTGTTCATTTAATATGAAAGATTTATGATATTGCATGTTCTTTGGAATATGCTAAGCTTTGGCAATGTTGTCAAAGGAAAAAGGTGCCCTTAATGCACTAAGGACTTTTAGTGTCTTTAGGTGAGAGGTGCTAAAGGCACATGCCTTACCGAAGATTGGTTTTAATGATAAAATAACAGATAAAATTCTTGCTGTCCAACATTTCTTTGCTCCAACCTCTTTTAATGTGAAAGCAAGAACCAAAAACAATTCAAATTCTATCATTTTGAGATGTTTTTAATTAAACAAATTATAAATTTGTTATATTAATTATAAAAAAGTTATGTTTGTGTGTTGTAAATAGATAGAATAGAAAGTGACAACATTTGTAAGTGATCCATGCGGCATCATCAATACAACAACAACATTTTGAGTGATCCATGTATAGGTTTCAACAAGTTTTACAATAGCTGCAACATCAGTATGAAAAAAAAAAAAAGCAGACAAATATAAGTGCTACATGGGGCATGGAGTCAAAAATAGAAAAAAGCACAGGAGCAAAGCAAATAAACCAGACGGATGGAACAGTGGTGCTTGGATATTGTATACAATAGGAACGGTTATAAACATCTTCCTCGGTGGTGGAAACATAATAAATTCAATAGTTTGAAATTGTCACAGAAAGTGCCAAATCATAGGCAAGAGAAAAACAATTGGAAATTAAAGAAGGTAGCTGTTTGATTTAATGGGATGATATTTTACACCATGTTACATAGCTCCAATTGTTGTAGTTGGTAAAAGCTCCTCTACAGTGAATTTGTTTTTAAAGTTTCCAGGGATGTATTGACCTTTAAATTTTTGTGGGTTAGTAATGATGTAATTTAAGTTAAATTGGATACATTCTTTCTCACTACACAGGAGTCTTTTCCTATGTAATTCATATGAAACTGACAATTTTTATGGACCCGGGTATCATCAAGTGCACTACCCATTACTAGTCAGGTGCTCATATGGAACCCCTCTGCATTAAGTAAAAAGCATTATCAAGGCGTGAAAACATGCACCACAAAGAACAAAAAGCGCTGGACCCTTGCCGTGCCTTGCCTATGGCATGCCTTTAGGCTTTAACTACAGTTGGAAATCCAAGATTATAGGGACTATATGGCAGACATGTACTGTTATTGGTTGAATTTGGTTTAGGAAGTATCTTGGTTGTCATATTGGGATTTGAATCATGAAGGGAAGGTGTATTTTTGAAACTGTTAATCTAAATGTATGATGAGTTGTAAGATTCTTGATAGCATAATTTTTTTTTTTTGCATAATAAAACTTAACAAACATATGATAAATTAGTATCATCAAGCTCATAATCTGCAATAGAACCCCAAAATAAATCAAGTCATAATAATTTTAAAAGAAGGAATTCAAGGACACTGACTGCATGGGTGTTCAGTCCCTAAAAGGAAACAGCAGATCACTATTTTTTAACATATAATCTAATTATCATAACACCTAGCAATGCCCTCTGAGATTCTTTTCATTTTGGATGCAATATATCAAACAGTTTAGCTTCTTCAAAGCATCTTTTTTTCTCTCTTCCTGTTGTACCCTGGTTAAATTTTCTTGCAGACTGGTTGGGTGTTGTAGTGCACAATCTTGCTAGTTCATTTTTTTTTTGTTGTACTTCTATTTTGTTTTGTGGTTCTGTAGATTATTTCAGAATCAATATTCCTGTTCTGTTGTTCTGTGTACTAATTTTCATATTTTGTCAATGATAATTACAGTCAATTCCTGGCATGGAGAGCTTTACAGAAATTGCTCCTTCAGTTCGTGGCCTACCCCAATTGGTAATCTAATTTTATGTAAATTTATTTTAAGTATATCATTAGGTTTTAACTTGCTGTTGCTGATTGTTTTACCATTCTTTTAAATATTTGCAGGTCATAGAAAGCATTAATAAATGTGATGTAGACATTCGAAGAGAATTATTTAGTAGTATACTGGTAAAGTTGATTTTTTTTTGTCTCTCTCTTTTACTGTGTATGCATATACTCAGGTAGTTCATATGTGGAGCTTAATTTAATTAAGGATGGACATTTTTGGTGTAATAAAAAAAGAAACAGATACAGGATAAGGCTGCATACTGTTTAACCAATCCAGACTCCACAATGATCAGAGTTTTATAGGAACCTCATGCAGGGTGCTATCCCTTTTTTTTTTTTTTGGAGAATTGTGAAGTTATTTTGAGATTGGGATGGAATTGTTACCAACATTAGAGTTTCATGATATTGCATGAAAGTTGAAACTTAATACTTTTATCTTGATTGGAATTTAATTTTTGACTTGTATTTTTAGTCAAATTACCTTTACTCTGATCTTTGACCAACAAATACCTGCTGAAACCATATGATATGCTTATATATTATGTATACTTTATGCTCCTTGTAAGTACCATTACTTGAGAAATTAAAGTGTATTTCATTTAAAACATGCAGCTTGCTGGTGGTACGGCTTCTATGCAACAACTGAAAGAACGCCTTGAGAAAGACTTGCTAGAGGTATAGTTTAACAAATGAGCCCTTGTCTATTCTATCCTCTGAATGGCAATTTGGTTGGGGCTGAGTTTAAATACCTTTGAAGCTTAGTTTACAGTTAGACTCAAGAATTTTTTCATTTATGTTGTTTTCTTGTGTGGTGATTGTTAAGGCATAAGGACTTAGTGCATCTGTCTATATCTTAATTTTAAAATTTATGCCAAAGTTTTTTGTCTTGCCATTTTTTGTAGATTTGGACTAGGCATAGAGGGCTTGTGGAATTTTTACTGCTTTTATTTTTTTCATCTTCTTGTTACTTCCAGATGAAATTTTGATGAGCAATCTATGCTTGTGGTTTCCCTTGGGGTGTTTCTACGAGAGCTCTTTTGTGCTAACGTTTTTTTTTTTTCCTTTGCCTGCTTTTGGGATGGAATTGTGCACGATCTTTTATGTTAATTTTCTAGTGAATTACCTTTATCATAAAGAAAACGTATCAGTGACTAGGAGAATGAAAAGGTAAAAAAATTTAGGGAATTTAAATGCTTGGGAGGTTTAACTGGAGATACCCTCTTGTCAATTTTCATCAAGTGTTTAAAGCTTTATAAAATTTGTTGATGAAGTAGCTTAAAACATTTTATATTTATTTCTTTAATTGATATATTGTGTTTTAAGTGAAAACTGACGATGTAATTGTGAAGCACAAGTTTCTGTAAGATACTGCCTAAACTGGATTAAAAGCCTTTAGCCAAAGCTTCTGCGGCACTGTTAAGAGAAGACAATTAAGTTTAAAACATATACTGAAATTTCTCTCAGGAATAAGATTTGAGTTCATATTATAGAATGTCTACACATTTGATCTTTTTGAATTAAGTCATCTGGTGGCATGCGATTGTCTATGTTCTTTAAGAAGTTGGAATTAATTCTAGTTGTAAAAATTGACTACAATTTCATTTCTGATTCAGGAGTCCCCTCAAGCTGCTAGAGTTAAAGTATTGGCCAGTGGAAATGCTACTGAAAGAAGGTTTAGGTGCGATATCTATCTTTATGTTAATGCACTTATTATGGTTTTGGTGTTCGATGACATTACCGTTTCCTGGTTATTTCCTGCGACTGAGTACTCTGGTTTATTATAAATTCAACAATCTTTTCCCTTTTTTATGGTTAATTTTAAGCCTTCAAAATTACACATATCAGCATATAAAATAGCTATGATTCTATTCATCTGGGAAGCATTGTTTACGCTATCACATTTATTAGCAAATTTTCTTTGATCTTTATTCTCTATACATTGGTGGTGGAGTTTAATATCTTAAATTAGCACTGAATATAAACTTAATATTTTCCTAACGAATTTATATGAACACTTATTTGTTTGTATGTCTCTATTGATGTCATTTGAAAATTCACTTATCAAATTTAAAAAATGGCTAAATTCAATTTCTAGGTAGTTTGAAACTGGCACTGGATGATGCATAAACCATTTTAAATTGTTTGATCGGTCTAGTCTTCTGGTTATGCCTTGATGTAGATTTTGTTTTCTTGTTAATGTTAGGTTTGAATCGCCCTCTTCCCCAACCGCTGATTATGCTTCCATTTTTGTCCAATATAGGGGGGAGACTCAGATTATTGTTTTATGTGGGAATAATTGTTGATGCATTATAATACTGTCTCCAGTTCTAACTCAAAATGAATGACTTTTTATGCAGTGTTTGGATAGGGGGTAGTATATTGGCATCCCTTGGCTCCTTCCAGCAAATGTGGTTCTCCAAATCCGAGTAATTACTGTTCACCAATCTTACGATTATACGAAGGCATTAATTTTCAAATGCATTTCACATTGGCAATCTCTTTTTCCCCTTTTATAATAAGAAAAGGAAAACTGAAATTGTGCTTCCTAAATTTCTCGTTAAGAATAATTTTTAACATAATCATTTTAATGCACTTTAGGTATGAAGAGCATGGAGCTTCGTATATCCAAAGGAAGTGTCCTTGAGTTGCTAGTGGTACGCGTATAAGTTATTTTCCTTCCAGTGGTTATCTTGATGACTTCAGGAAGTCCTATGAACACTGAAGTAGTGCTTATCTACTAATGGATTTTTCATTCCTATTAATGGCCATTCCCATTAGATCCGATTCTAACTACATTATTGACCTCAGTATGCATCACAGCCCAGCTATAACTAATCTATATTGATGTAAAGTAAAGTGTGCCTAGAGTCTGTCTGTAACAATCTTCATTTATCAGATTAGATTTCTCTTCTCTATACGTCTCTATTTTGTCTTCTCTTTTTTTCCCTTTCAATTTTAGGTATGTTTTGTCATGACTTGAACCTGCGTTCTTATTGAGCAAAAATAAATAAATAAATAAAAGTTGAGTTCATGACTCCTGGGTAACAGACACGTGCAAGCCTCTAAATCTACAATTTAGCTATAATCTCACAAATAAAAAGAGCCTCTAAACCTATCTTAAATAACACTTGTAGAAATTTTCTTAGCGCACACAAACAAATTTGTTAAAGATCGATGCCGTATAGTGGTGATCAACAAAACCAACAAGCCACTGATCTACGAACACAACACATCGAACCCAGGTACGTCGTTGTAAGAAATCAAATCGAACCCAGAGTGCATTATGTTGGATCTTGATTGAAAGATTCGGATATGATTAAAGAATTTTAGGAGTATATAATATATTTTTTTTACTTTTGTTTGTAAAGAGGAAATAAAATAGAAAAATAAATTATAAAATATGTAAATTATCTAAAACTGAATGTTTAGAAACTTTATCTTAAGGGTAAAAGAAATTTTTAAACAAGGATGTCAAATGAGATAATTTGTCTCCACTGAGTTAACTTCATAAATAAGATGATATGTGAATACATGAAAGCAGCTTTGCATGATATGATAAATATCGTAAAAAATAAAACACATTTCAAGAGAGATCAATCTTAATTTTTTTATAATAAGGCTCACTGCTTTAAGCAATCAGGTTCTAAAATTATTTTATCATAATCTTTTAATTTGTCCAAGTTTTCAAAAGATTGCTTTCAATTTTGTACTAAGAGCAGACTTTTACCAAAAAAAAAAAAATTTCATTAGTCATTTATCACTACAATCTTGTATAACATGACTACAACTCATATGATTCATCTTACAACTATCATCCATATTAATTTTACAGTACTTGAAAGATGTTGGATCACATGACATTTCTAAACAAGATGTGAGTTTGAGGGCTAATTTATTTAAAAAATTAACAAAGTGCAATCATTTTTAGACTGACTAATAAAATCCAAAATATGATATATACTATACCTCTTCTTGTCAAAGAGTATACTATTCCTCCAAATTCAAAGCCATCAAAGAATGAATAAATAGGAAATACAATTTTTAAACTAAGATATCAATTCAAATCGTAACAGTCATAGAAATTATAATGGAAATATTGTAACTTCAAGTGAAACTAAACTTCTTCAAAGGAGGAACATAGTTAATGTCTTCAAGTTCATAAGAATATCTATGACAAGAGTTTAAGGAAGTAAACTCATGATAATGTTGCAAAGCCTTAGTGTGGATAAAGATCCATGACAAATAAGTTAATGAAAAATTTAACTTTCTTCATTATTAATAACTTCTAAACCTAATCAAAATATGAAATTGGTGAAGTGTTAGATCTCAAATCACTAAGCCAACCATAAACTACCTTTGCAAAATAAGTCTTCTTTGTATCTTCCAAATATCTGTAGTCTTTAATAATTTTGTTTGTTGGTGTATGTATGAGCTTTGATTTATTGTGGGATAGAATTGACAAAATAGCTCAATTTCCAAATCTCATGAACAAACAACTCAGTAACTTGGAGGTTTGTATATGATATGTGAGTAAAATCAATTAAATTAGCAATTGAGTCAAGATTAGTTCAATCACAATATCATACCAAAGATGAACCAAAATTCAACTAGAACTTAAAACAATCTCTCAAGATACTACAAACCTTTAGAATGCTCTTTCAAATAATAAAATCTTTTGAGCCTGCTTGAATAGCTCACAATGAATTATTTTTCATATATTTTTCCTTCATGATCTAAATTCATGATTTGGGGTTATTCCGTAAAATATCTCACACCAATTTACCTACAAGAGAGATATTAATCATTCATATATTACAAATACATAAGTCTCTATTTTTTAGGAGAAATAATTTTATCCAAATCAAATGGATGAATGCTACTGAATTTATTAGAAGACTAAACAAAACTTTTAACTAATTTATTTGATAACAAACAGATTGAGGTAACTATCAAATTTGCATAGCTTATATTAAAAAAATCTAAAATTATATGTTTTATGTTATTTTATATTTATTAATTAATTCAATGATTAGTTTTATTAAATATTATTAATACAATAAACCTGCAGCTTAATAAGTTTCAACTTGCAACTAATAAATTTTAGTTACAAACTATACCTTTTAATTTTCAGATAATGTACTTTTCCTAACCATATCTTGAATAACTAATTAAGTTCAAAAGGGTTGACATGACTTAATATCAAGTTTTAAAGAATACTAAATGATGAGAAAAATATATATAATAAAAAATATCTCACTTTAAAAAGAAATTTAAAAAAAAAATCAAATTTTTATATAGAATAATGAATTAAATTGAACATATATTAAAATAAATTCACTAGTAAATTATTGATGGAAGATTTAAAATCTTAATTATACAAATCTTACAATTATGTCAGCTTTTATTTTAGTTGGAAATTAAATAAAATCTAGTAATGTAAACTTAGTATAGATATAAATTGACATTAACTAAATACCTAAAATCCGAAGGATTGGGGTAACAAAATAAAAGATAAGCATTACAATGACCCGTAAAGAGTACACCAAAATCATGTTTTTAAAACTGTATACCAACCCCAATGCACACGACAGATTCATATTTTCTTCATTTGAGTCTAGTCAGGACCATTCTCAAATAATCAAAGTTTTGAAATAAAATAAAAACTGGTCATTCTGTCTACCTTGCTAATACGTGACCATTCTACCATAGCCATATATATATATTATTCAACTCTTGTATCTTCACACCTAAAAAGGCATAGAGATTATAGAGAATCATGGATAATCCTAAGCAAACACTTGGGATTTTAACTACGGCAACATTACTCTTTGCTGGGCTTATTTTTCTGTTCCACTGGTCTTCTTCTTTCCCCAACCAATTGGTTCTAATTACCCAAAATGAAACACCACTCTGCAAGCAATCAAATTTTGTAAGTTCAAAAATTACCCATGTCTTAATTTCATTTTATCTTTTGCATGAGAACAAATCATGGGTATTTATGATCTGGCTGAAATTTTGAAATTTTCAATCCTATGCATGATTGCAAGAGTAACGTTGTCATTGCCATAGTTTTTGTCTCAAAAAATTGCAACAATCATATGTATGGGGTTTGGTTTTTTTTTTTTTAATTTAATTTTCTTGCTCCATCATTTTAATTTTTGGTTTTCTTCCTTGAATTTTGTGCATACATTGAAGAGCACCAAAACTGAAGCAAATGGAGATGCCCTTGACTCTGCTTTGGCAAAAGCCTCAATGGGAAACAAAACGGTGATAATTGCAATGGTGAATAAGGCTTATGCAGAGCAAAGTGTGGAGAGTGATACCACAATGTTTGATATATTTCTTAGTAGTTTTTGGATTGGAGAGGGAACAAAGTCTCTTATTGATCATCTTCTCGTAGTAGCTGTTGATCGAACAGCCTATGATCGGTGCCAATTTCTGAGGTTGAATTGCTTCAGATTGGAAACAGAAGGTGTTGATTTTGAAGGTGAAAAGCTTTACATGTCTCAAGATTTCATCAAGATGATGTGGCAAAGAACTCTTTTCCTCTTGCAAGTTCTCAAACGTGGCTACAACTTCATTTTCACGGTATCTTTCTTTTTCTTCTATTTAATTACAAAACTATCATCTTATTTTTAAATATTTGTGCACAAAATATTGAAAATAAAAATGCATTTTTATGTATAAATATTTAAAAACATAAACTAGAATAAAAATAATGTAATAATTTTATAATTAAAACTGAAATTAAAAAAAATAAAAACAGAGAATATTTTCTCTAACCAAATAGCTTGTTAGCTTCTCCTTCTCATGTTTAGTGGTCTAAGATTGTAGGCTGAATATAATAAAATGGAACACTTCTCATTTGAAAAGTAATTAGCTAATAAATAATAAGCGTACATAAACATTATTTCTAAGTTTAAGTTAATCAACCCAATAAAATCGGCAAATCAAGCGAAATCAATTGAATTTGTTTTGATTTTTTCTTTTTTTGACAATTGAATTCAAGTGGAACCAAACTTAAAACCTATTAATTAAGTTTTTGAACTTAAATCAACTTGAATAGAATCGATCATTATTCTTTTTTATATATTTAAAAAAAAACTCAGGAAATTTCTTCTCCTAGTGAATACTATACTTTAATTAAATTTATAAATTTATGGACTACTTTAATATGATAAATTTATTTTTTCTAATATTCATTTATTTAATTATTGAATATTATCAACACTCTAAAATATACTATAAATTGGGATATTTGAATAACATTTGTTTGCTTTATTATGCATCAATATTCATTTACTTTAGCATTAAATATTACCAGATTCATCCGTGAAGCAAGGTTTGATTAATTACTATGCACAAATAAAGTTTAACAATACAGGACACGTTGCACTTGGTATAAAGTTTTGTGCAAGTCACATTCTCATAAATGTTCCAAAAGGGACATTTATTATAATCATATATAGAGAAGCTGAAAGGAATGATCTACTTTGAATTTTTAACATTATGGTTTTTGTTTCTTTGAACTTTCAAGTTATCATATATGATATTAGGAGAGTGATTCATTGTTGAATAATCAAGTTAATTTTATTTAAATGAGAAGATAAGTTTGAAAAAGAAAAAATAGTTTTTTAGGAGCGAAGAGATAAAAATATTGATATTATTTTTTTAAAAGTTAAAAAGTAGTTCTTAATATTTTCTTTATTTGATAAATATTACAATGATTACTATTAGCCGTTTAGCGATTAAGAATTTTCATTTTATTAGTGAAGAGTTACGTAAAGTGTTTGTCTGTTTGCCAATTTTGAAGACCAGATAATTGTAGTTGGTTTTAATAATCCGAAGTGTTTATTGCTTAATTTGATAAAATGGTTCTTATTAATTTTATTTTCTATTTCAATAAATTGTTATAAAATTTTCCTTATTTCATGTTGTTTCTTATATTTTTAAAAAATGCATGAGAAATGAGGTTAATTCAATATTCAAATTAAAAGGTAAGGATGTTAATATTTTGAAAATTTAAATAGTATTTAGTATTTTCTTTTTCTTACTGCATAAGCATTCCTTCTTTTATCATTGTGTGAAACTTAGAATTCCATGATGAAATACCAAATCTTTTTTAGAAAAACAAAATTGTTTTTAATTTGGTTTCTAAATTTGTCAAACTTCACTTACAAAAGTTACATACTTATGGGGTTTGATGTGAGTGGTCTTGTTCATGTTTTCTTTCTTATTTGATATATATAGCATGAGAGGCTAACATATAGAAAGGTATACTAAGTGTAGTTTTTATGCTTTTTTTCCTTTCTAGGAGAAAAAAAAATGACTTGAAAATCAAAAGGGTACGTTTGATTAAAACTTATAAAGCTTTTGTTGACTTCAAATTTTAAAATTGAGTTTAAAATTTTTAAAATATAATAAATTTTTTATTTTTAAATGCTTAAATTCAAACTTAAAGTTAAAATAACAAAACCAAACAACATATAAAATGACTTGTCAATATCTTGAAATATCAAAACAGCACTTGTGTTTCCATGGAACTCATCATGCCTTAACTATTGGGGTACTTTCCATTACTTTATAGTTTTTATTCAAAGTTGACTTTTAAATTTATAATCATTCCACCCTTCATTCATGTGCAAAATTCCAAGGTATTGATTACGCTTTTTCGCATTCAAAAGAGAGTAATTGTACTTCATTCTAAATACTTGTTTTCTACTCAATAAAAGTTCTTAATAATTGTCCTCTAATTAATTATAAGCGGCTTGAGCTGTAAAGAGCATTTAAGATTCTAGTTTTGATAATAACTATTGAATTTTTCTAGCTCTTGCATAAGAACATATAATAAAAAGATAATAAAAATAAATTTTTATTAGAAATTATAGTATTAAATAGTGTATTGAATTATTTATATTATATAAAAAAATTTAGTATATGTTTTTTACACTGGTTAGCAAAACAAAATAACTATTAAAAAGGTTTAGGAGTAAGGTTTTGGTGAAAAAGACAAAAAAGTAGGATAAATTTTTATTATGTTATAAAAATAAATAAATAGATTAGAACAGTATGTTTATATTAATTTATTTTTATTTAAGGAATATTTACTAAAAAATTGTATACAATAAAAAATTGAATGAAGTAGCAACATTTTCCAAGTCTATTTGTGAATTGATTTATATTTCGCCTTATGCATAGTATTAATTGTGAATTGGTTTATATCTTCTTCTATTGTTAAATAACATGATATAATCATATTAGAGAAAAAAATATTTTTTATTAAATAATGACTTGTCATAATTAGCTATAAGATGACTAATGTATTTATATTTTTGACAATTTTATTTCATAGTTTTCATTCCCTTCTTAAACTAATGAGCAACACATTCATATTTTTTTCAGGACACTGATGTGATGTGGCTAAGAAACCCCTTTGCAAGATTGAGCAAGGATGAGAAAGAGGACATCCAAATCAGCACAGACTCATACCTTGGTGATCCTTGGTCAACAATGCATCTAATCAACACTGGATTTTACTTTGTGAGGTCAAACAACAAGACCATTTCCTTGTTTGAAACATGGTATGGACAAAAAGACAAATCCAAAGGCAAAAAGGAGCAAGATGTGCTTCTTGCCCTCATTAGAAGTGGTATTATTGCACACCTGAAACTTAGGGTTAGGTTTTTAGACACCCTTTATTTTAGTGGATTTTGCCAAGATAGTAAAGATTTTAGGGCAGTCACCACCGTCCATGCCAATTGCTGTCGGAGCATCACCGCTAAGGTGGCGGACTTGAAGGCGGTGCTTCGAGATTGGAAGCAATTTAGGGGTTTGGAAGCTAATTCCACAGTGAATCCCCATTGGACTCAACACAATTGGTGCAGGCAATCTTGGGGATCACCGAGGAAGACAAAGGGCTAATTGAGCATCATATCTAGTTAAATGATGACACAAATTAACATACATGCATATATATATATATATATATATATATATATAGCTTATTTTATTTATTTAATTTAGAAAAGTGAACACTTGAGATGTTTTTTGTGCACTATTTATGGAGAGGCTAATAATGGAGTTGAAAAAAAAAAATTATTTGTGTATGTGTTGTGAGGATTATACATGTGCAAATAAAGTTACTCTATCATTTTAAGATAGTGAAGAAATTAAAACAATTAGCTAAAAAATAAGAGTTATTGTCATAACCATAGTTTGACCATCCTTTATAAGTAATATAGCCAATATTTTTGCATATAGATTTTCTATTTGGAAATGAAGAAAGGGTTTATGGCAGCACATCATTGAGAAAATGGTATGTTAACCCATTTGGTGGGATACCACATTATGTATTATTTTGGTTAACTTTAGAGTCCCACGTTTACAATTTTTGGCTCTTCAAAAGGTCAACTCTGGTGACTAAGTAGATTTTATGTTGAACCAGTTAGAACAGCCATCAAGGTCAATGGAAGAGATAAAAAAAAATGTTTATTCTATGCTAATTTCTAACTTGTCTCCTCACACTGGATAAGTTGACAACCATCTTAATTGTTTTCATAATCACAATTATTACTAGAAATTAGAATCTAACTGTGTTAAAGGATGATAATGAAATTACCATGCAATGCTTATTTCAAGTTAATAAAATTCAATATGATAAAAGTTAATTCTTATTTTTCTAATTGTATTTTTAGTCTTTCTAATTTTTTAATCATTCGGATTAAGTTTTTCACACCAAAATCTCATACAATAATTAATAAAAATATAACAAATATAATATATCCTTGATTTTATACAAATATATAAAAAATATATGTAAAATAATTATACAAAAATCATAATACATTTGTTATATTTGACATATATTTATTTAGTACTTTTATTTAAAAGTGCTACATATTTTTTTACTATTTTATATAAATCAATAATATCTCATATCGAAAAAAATAATTGCCTTTGCCAAAATGCTTCATATGCAATCTAATATGCACATGCCAAAATGCTTCCTTTGCAATCTAATATGCACACGTGTGTATTACTTAATAAGAAGGCTACTTTTGTATGTGAATAACATGCGTTGACTTATACATTCATCTATAAATAAGACTAAAGATTAATTAAATGAACATGATCATTATTAAAAGTCGTGAAATTTCTTAAAAATATTTTAATTGAAATGTAATGACAATCTAAAGAATTTTATATTATCTTCTAATTAATAATTGTCATGTTTAAAAAATGTTAATTTTTGTAATAATTAATTTTAAAATTATATCTTCTGTGTATTTAATTGGTTCACAATGTAAAATTTTTTATATTTATAGTGTATTAAATAAATTCTGTTAAAAATGACATAGCTTTTATATTTTAATTTGAATCAGGATGCGTTGATACTAAATATCAAATTTGAACAAATATATTATTTAATAAATTTTCATAAAATGTAAAATTAATTAATCTAATTATTAATTTGAAGGTTCTTATTAAATTAACTTTATAACATTTTATATCAAAATAAAATTAATAAATACTCAAACACATTACTTTATTTCAATGATTGTTATACTTTTAAAATATAAATAAATATTAAAATTTAGATAATATACATATAAATGTCTAAATTATATGAAATTCAATATTTATGATCATAAAAATAATATAAAATAATTTAATAGTTAAATTATTTAATGATTAGATTGATTAATTTTACATTTTATGGAAAGTTATTAAAATTATGTAAGTGTTTAAGCTTGACATTGGTGTGATTGAATTCTAACTCTTTTAATTTAATATTTCATAAATTTATTCTATTATTTATTTATTTTTTTGCATAAAAAGTTTGAGTTAAGTTATTGAAATCACTCAATTTTTAGTAATTCTCAAAGCATTCTCGATTAAGATTTGAATTTTTGCACTACGAAGACAAAGCTTCATAAGAAGATAGAATATAATAATTTATTTTATCTTATTTTATTTTTAATTTTTTTAAATAACATGATATGATAGTCATTTTTTTAAGTAATTTTTATTTTTATAATTCAAATTCTTATTCTAAAAGAAGTGAAGAGTTAAAAAACATCAAAATAAAATAATTAGTTTGTTATATTTATACTCATACTTTATACTATTTGTAATATTTTACAAACAAAATAATTATTTAAAAAATATAATTTCAATACTTTTAATAAACAATTATTTAATAATTTTAATACTTTTATAAAAAAATCTTTTACTCATTTTACTTACTGCCCAAAAAATAATTTTTTCTGTAAAAAAATTGAAAAAATTATTTTATTTTGACTGTGATATCTATTTATTAGCATGTTTGGTTGAGCTTAATGCTTAAATTAAGAGAAATAATTACTTAATTTTTTAAAGTTTTAATAAAAAATCAAACATGCACTCTATGTCTTGGAGCATGATGTTGCAACTAGGAAGCACAATTATTATCCTTAGTTTTTATTTACTTGTTAGGGATTATTTGAAACAAATATTGAAGCTAGTTTGTTGGTTCTATCAAATTTGTTTAACTTTTTTATTATTTTTTAATTAAGGATATAAGGAACAGCTGAGGAACTCTTAGTTCACTTTCAAGTGTTAATGAAAAATGTGATCTAAGACCTATCTTGCATAAGAATAGGTTTTTTGGGGTGGATACATGTTATGGCTACACTTGTGATTCTTTTGATGATATAAATATAATTAAGCTTCTTTTTCAAAGGTATGAGTAAAATTTAACAGATTTTATGTTATTAATCAAATTATTTTTAAAATATCATTATTTAATTTAAATTTTATTTCTAATGATTCTTTTTAATTTTTCATAATATAAATAAATAATTTCATACAACTTAAAAAAATTAAAAGAGAAATTTCCTTACAACTAGTTAAAAAAAAATTAACTCCTCCACTAAGATGCTAAATGACTTTTTTAAGTTTCATAACTTCACTTTGATATTTAGCATAAAACCATAAACTATCAACTAATAATATTTAATGTTAATAAAATTGTTAAATCATTCTTGAATGGTTTTAAAGGAGATATGAGAGAAAGTGTTTATTTTTTAAATAAAATAAAAAATATTAAATGAGATCACTTGTTTTTCTTAATAAGTGTAATTTAATTATTTTTTATTTATCTTTGAGGAAAAAATACATTATACTTATTTTTATATGTAAAGAACAAACTGAAAAAATAAATTACATAGAAAATTAAAAAAATGTTTAAATTTTTAAAAAATTAACAATAAGAACTAAAATGCTTAGTTGTAGGCGGCATTAACTCTTTATTATTTTTGATATTTTTAACGTGTGTCCAAGACTGCAAAATAATAATTATAATAACTTTTTATTAAAAAAATATTACAAAATTTAATTCATTATTAACATTAATATTATATTTTTTAATAATTTTTTTTTTAGTTTCTTCTTACTATGTGCTTTTAGATATATATTTAAAAAGGAAAAGTTTTAAAATATCTAAAAAATAAAAAATAAAAAATAAAAAATGAAAATTAAATTAATATATCATTATTACATTGTTTTTTCTTCTTGTCCAAACAAATTAGGATTCAATCACATCCCAATATGCAACATTTATTTTTTACTGAGCCATCATATAAATAAAAGTCTCTAGGGTTCCAATATTACCTTCGTGTTGATAACTCTTTCTATCTCTCTCTCTCGCAGGGTTTTGCTTTTCCCTTTCTCTTTTTCTTCGATTCTCACTCTCTATCTAGGGTTTTCTCCATTCCTTTCAATTCCCAATTTTCTCTCGTTTCTCAATTTGTTTCGCTTTCGACATCGTTCGACGCGCCTTCGTTAGGTTAATCTTCGATTCCCTAATCTCACAAAACCGGTTGTTCAATTTAGGGTTCCTTCGAATCTAGGGTTTCTTTCCAGGGATAGTCGCGCGCGGATCATGCCTCCGAAAACGGTGAAGAGAGGCGCTGCGGCGAAGAGGGGTGGCAGAGGAAGCAGGGGAACCACGAAGGGTGCACAGAACCAGCAGCACCATGAAGCTTCGGAAGAATCTGCGAAGATTGAAGAGAAACCGGTTGTTGAAGAGGAGCATAAGGTAGAAGAGAACCCTGTTGTTGAGGATAAACAACCCGTTGTTGAAGAGAAACCTGTGGTTGAGGACAAGTCTATTGATATGAATCAAATGGCTCCAGAGGCTGTTGAAGAAGCATCTCGTGCTCCTAATGGGTTACCTGTGGTCAAAAGTAAGTGTCTTTTCTTTTCTTTTAATGCTTAATGTTACTTATTTTTTTATTAATAATTTTGAGTTTGTCAAAATCAAGGTTTTGGTTATGTTGTTGAGTTTGAATCTGAATTTGGTAATAATTAGCTTGGGTGTTCTTTGCCCGTGAATTATTATAAGTTTCTGAATTTTTAAAAATTAAACATTAATGAATGTATGCTTTTGCTTTGTATTTAAAGAATGTGATTTTTTCTTGCTTGTTCCTAATTTAATTTTATAGACTAACCGATAGCAAGAGGCCTATTGAATGGTAGTGGTCATTCTTGCCGCTGTTTTACCTGTTGCAAATAGAGAGGGGGGCCTATTGAATAGGTTTCATGTGCTGTGAAGATTGTTAGTTGTTTTCTTTTTTAATTTGTGTTGGTTCAAGTTGTTTTTGGGTTCATTCATGTGTTAGTGTGCTATCATGAGAATAGTTTCAACCAGGAATGATGAGATTGATCATGGAGTTTGGACTACCCTAATTTAATGAACCCTATGATGTTGGACAAGTTCAGTCTGTTTTACTGGGGTCAATTGAAATCTTTATTTTTGGCAGACGATGAAGAGGAGGTTAAGGAGCCCATAGATGATTATGAAAGAGATGAACGCTTAGATTTGGAGGATAATGAGCCCGAGTATGAACCTGAGGAGTATGGTGGAGTTGATTATGATGAGAAGGAAATGGATCAGGATGAGGTTCATGAGGTGGGAGATGAAGTAGAGGAAGAAGCTGAAGATAATGTTGGTGAAGAAGAGGGTGATATGGGTGAGGAAGAAGTTGAGGATGTTCATGATGAAATTGAGGGTGAAGAGGAGCATGAGCGTGCTGGTGAGGAGCATGAGCATCAAGACTTTGCTGATGTGGAGGAAGAGGAACACCGTGAAGTTGTGAAGGAGAGGAAAAAGCGGAAAGAATTTGAAGTTTTTGTTGGGGGCCTGGACAAGGATGCTACTGAAAGTGATCTGAGGACGGTTTTCAGTGAAGTTGGGGTGGTTACTGAGGTTAGGTTGATGATGAACCCTCAGACTAAAAAAAACAAGGGATTTGCATTCTTGCGTTTTGAGACTGTGGAACAAGCAAAACGAGCTGTAGCAGAGCTCAAAAATCCAGTGGTAATTTTTTGTTCTTCTCAATGTTAGAGTTGAGTTAAAACTGCTACCATATTAAATCACATGTTTTCGTCACCGCAATTTCAGATTAATGGCAAACAATGTGGTGTTACTCCTAGTCAGGACAGTGATACCCTATATTTGGGAAACATATGCAAGACATGGACAAAGGAAGCTGTAAGTTCAAACCTTTTCTGGGCCTATTTTCTGAACCTTTTGACCTTCAGCCCTTGAGTTGTGTTTGATAGTGATTTTCTCTTCATTCAAGTCTACTGAGTTTCTGACTATGAATGAAACTTATGGTGCCAGTTAAAGGAGAAGTTGAAACATTATGGAGTTACGAATGTTGAGGATTTGACTCTGGTAGAAGATACTAATGATGAAGGGAAGAACCGAGGATTTGCATTTTTGGAATTTGCCTCTCGTTCAGATGCTATGGATGCCTTTAAGCGACTGCAGAAGAGGGATGTTGTATTTGGAGTTGATAAGCCTGCAAAAGTTTCTTTTGCAGATTCCTTTATTGATCCGGGTGATGAAATTATGGCACAGGTATTTTTCTGAATCCAATTCCTTGGTTTCACCAGGGATTTTTAAATGGAATCTAAGTAGTATGGATCTCTGACCTTGTTGAAGCATTTGGGTTTCTATAAACATAGCTGCTGGGTTTCAACACCAATTGTGGTTAATTTTTTGTTCTCTGTATTTTGGATTTATAATGCAGTCACATTGACTGCCAGCATTTTTACATTTTAGCCACTTTTGGTAATCACAATGCAACTGCTAGTGCAACTAAAACTAAAGCATTATTTGTAAAAGAAAAAAATCACTTGGATTGCTTTTATGGTTGATCATTAAATTAGTAAATTTTGCAAGTTTTATTTGAATTTACTTTCAAGGATAGTCAGAATGATATTCCAGTAGTTGGTTATGAGTGAACAAGCTATCCTTGTAGCTGTCTTAGGCGTTTAGATGTTTGTATACCTCTACTTTGCTGATTAAGTGTGTTTAAATTACAGGTTAAAACTGTGTTCATTGATGCATTGCCTCCCTCATGGGATGAAGATTATGTCCGGGATATTCTTAAGAAATATGGAGAGATTGAAAAGATTGAACTTGCTAGGAACATGCCAGCTGCTCGCAGGAAGGATTATGGTTTTGTTACATTTGGCACACATGATGCTGCTGTAAGATGTGCTGAAAACATTACAGGCACGGAGTTGGGTGAAGGTGACAAGAAGGTCTGTCTGGTATTTTAATAAATTGCACATGTGCACATTTAAAAATAGGGCATTTTATAATGCTTTTGCTTCTTCCAGGCAAAAGTTAGAGCTAGGTTGTCAAGACCACTTCAGAGAGGCCGTGGAAAACATGTCAGTCGTGGGGACTATCGTTCTGGTCGTGGATCTGGAATAATGACAAGGCCTTCATGGAGCCGACCTGCACCTCGTAGTTTTCCTCCTCGTGGGGTAAGAGGAATTGGAAGTCGCCCTCCACCAGTCAGGCCTGTTAGTGTGAGAGATAGGCGCCCTATCATGTCTGTGCCAGTAAGAAGTAGGCCAGTGCCTCCTCCATCTAGATCTTATGATAGGAGACCAGTTGGTATGTGTAGTATACAATTTTATTTTATTTTTACCAATGGACTTGTGTTCATTACTGTTATTCATTCATTCTTATTGACATTATAAACTACTGTATTATCTGTTAGTTTCTGCATATCCAAAAAGTAGCATGAAGAGAGACTATGGTAGACGTGAGGATCTACCACCTCCAAGAAGTAGAGTTGCAGCAGATTATGGCTCAAGGATGGCTTCTGAAAGACGACCATCTTACAGGGATTATCCTGCCCGTGGTCCTGGCTACGCTGAGCCCCCTAGAAGCACATCTCGTGCTGCTCCAAGGCGAGGTTATGTGGATGATGGATACAGCCAAAGATTTGAGAGGCCTCCTCCTCCACCTCCTCCTCCACATCTAAGTTACCGTGAAGGACGCCCCCGAGATTATGATGCTCTGTCTGGCTCAAAACGTTCTTATGCTGCTATAGTCAGTATTGTTTCCGCATATATGTTGTAATTGTATTGCTCTGACAAAATATTTTAGCTCTCTAAGAACTTAGTTAATGAAATTCTTCACTTCCCTTTTAATCAGGATGATGTTCCTCCGCGATATGAGGATACTGGTGCTCGCCAGTCAAGAGCTCGATTAGACTATGACTATGGTGGTAGTGCTTCACAATATGGAGATGCTTATGGTGATAGGTTAGTTTTGTCAAAAAATTCAGGTTTTCTGCATTTCTTCCACCATAAACCAATTGTTACCTTGTAATTCATTCCATACATTTTGATGTCTAGACTTGGAAGATCTAGTCTGGGATATGGTGGTGGCAGCAGAAGCTCTATTTCTAGTCAAGATTCACATGGGATGTATGGCAGTCGACAGGGCATGAGTTATGGCGGAGGTGGATTTTATTGCATATATTCTGATTTATTATTATCAGCATCAGAATATTTGGTACTTAATTTTTTTGGTTTGTGTTCTATGTTAGGTTCTTTTGGTGGTGGGGATGTTGGTGGCATGTACTCATCAAGTTATGGTGGTGATTACATTTCTCGTGGAAGTGATGTAATGTTCTTGGCCTTTCTTAATCTCAGTAGGAAGTAGTGTTATATGTGCTTACATTTTTGTTATATTATCTATTGTTGTTCCTGTGCTGTAGGTTGGTGGCAGCTCGTATTCATCAATGTATTCTGGCAGGGGTGTTGGCGGTAGCAGTAGTTACATGGGTGGTGGTGGATCAGGATCTTATTATTGAGGTAAGTCATCTTATAAGTCCTTGGAATTGCATTTTGTGGAGTAAACAAGGATGCATTCAATACAAGTGAATATATTTTTCTGAGAGTTTTCTCTATCCCCAAAATGGCATCTCTTGTTTTTTCACAAGGGCTGGCGAAGGTTGCACGCTGTGGTCACCAGTGAATTTGTCTATGAACAGATCTGATATAATAAAGTTGCTGCTGTAGGATGACCCTTGAAGCTTATGCACTTTAGGATGCTTACAGTTTGGAGACAAAGAAATGTTGCTATATATAGCCATTTTTGGGAATTTGTCATAAAAAGTAGGTCATGTCAATTCAAGCTATCTCGAATATTCTCTGGATGGGATGTATTATCAGTACTTGACTTTGTGCTGTATGGACTTTGAGTAAAAATATAGTTGGAAAAAAGTATTGAGCAGTGATGTGTAATTAAACCCTGATTTATAATATCATGGACGGATAATGTGAAAGATTTCTCACTGCTCCATCTTCCGTTTCATTTGGGCAGAGACCAAGTTTAGAGATGCTACTTGTTTGGTTAAGGCTTTATGGATTTTTACCTGCTGAATTTAACAAAAAGTTGGTGCTTTATTTTGAATCTCCGAAGAGATGTTTAGTTACTTTGGATTACTTGTTTTTACAGTGATGTGATAATAAGAGCACTACTTCAGCAATTAATAAAGTCAAATGGCTAGTTTCTCGGGATTTTATTTGACTTGGTGTCACCCTAAGAAAGTAAAAAGCATAATGCACGGGTAATATTTGTTGCTGGAATGATTTGATACTTTTGAGATTTTGCGCTGAGGGGGGATTACAAGACAATGCTAAAGATGCATTGGCATCTTAGCTAGTTAACTTCATAGATTTGCATTTTGCAATTCAATTATTTGTACACTATTGGTTGATATCCCCTTGGGTGGACCTCAGAAGACCATTGCCTTGGCAATATCATGGTAAAATGCAACAATCAAGTGATTATAAAGTATCAGAAATGGTTTGAATATCATCTGCTACTAAGTTTCTGAACGGGAACTAAATTTTAAAGCTGGCTCCTATGCCCATGGTTATCACAAAACCCTTTCCTCAAAGGCAAAGGTTACCAAAATGCATATGTGGATTTGGTCATGATTTTGTTTTATTTTTAAGTGGTTGTCTTCAATTGCCAAACCATTCTGGTGTTAAGTTGCAAATACTTCACTGTTTTTGTTTTGGAGTCACAAGGCACTGGAAGCTATTGCATATCAAAAGTTTATCTTGTAAATGGGCATTTAAGTAGTAATAGTATGTCATTTTGGAAGCTCGTTTAAGATTGCAGAGTTTGTTAGAATTTACTAAATTAGATAATTTTCATATAAATTTTGCATGCATGCCATGGATTTCAGGTGATTTTTCCATGAATATTCACGTTTCGTATAGGCTTTTCAGTTTAAGCTTAGAAAGAGTTGGTGTCAGAGCTTGAGTTTCCAATGTTCTTATATCTGGTGGCCTGCTTTCATGAAATACTTTTTCCCATTCTGAGGGTTATGTACTAACTTGTGAAGTTTTAGTTTCCTGTTCTATTTGTCGCGCTGTGCAGGGTCTAATCTCTCCTCAAGCACTTGTTTAGCATCTCCCTGTGAAGATCACTATCGTTTTTCTTTTGGGCGGTGGGGGGAGGTAGTTTCTTTCTTTGTTTGTTTGATTAGGTGGATGCGATCATTCTTATTGTAAATTATTATGTTGATTATTTCATGCATAAAATTGTAAACGCTGGGCAAAGTAACGTGTGTTGCTACTGATCATATTTATTCTGCCCATGTTGTGCTTGTAAAATGGTGAGCTATGGTCCTTTTATGTCTGTTTAGAAACCACTTTGTGGCTTTGTTTTGCCAAACGGTTCATCTACAAATATTGGTTCGCAGATATTTGCAGTTCATTCAAATGAATCTTATGTGTGATTGAAAATTTTCCCCAGCGCGTTAAAGTGAAAACCGATTAAATTGCCGTTTTTAATTTGTTTTGTTGTATAAGCTGAACGCCCCCAAAATGTTAGCAATTATACATGTAACTGATGCATCTGTTATTCTAGCATACCGTGACGTCGTAATCGTCTCATTTGGTGGATAAAATTGCTACCCAGTACGAAACTACCTTCGATTTCTGTCAAGTTCTTTTTATTTATCTTATTACTTAAATCAATTATATTTAAACACGATGCATTCTTGCAAAAATAAAATAAAATTCGAACACACTTCTCTTAGTAAATTAACGTGTGTATCCAAAAAGTCGAGCACCAATACAAGTTAAAATTAGAACAGTCACGTGCAATGCAAATGTGGCAACGTATGTTCGAAGAAATAAATATTGAAATTATATAACATTGTTTTACTTGAACTTTTCTCCCATTAAAATAATAACTATAACTTTAGCCAATATGTAGTTCTGGTGCTTCCAACTTATGCTAGAATACAATCGTAATCTCTGATATAATTCAGTATATAATTAATAATAGCGATTTAAACGGACTTTTTTAGAAACATGATGTATCAAACCAAACACCATATCAAAACACAATTCAAAATTATTACGGTTTCATGAACGTAATTTTTTTTTTAATTTAAGATTTCTTCTTTAGTTTTTTTTCTTTTTTGGGTAACTATATGTTTTGTTACACCTTTCTTTTGTTGATAAATACACGTAATATTAACACTACATATAGTAGCGTCTACTCACTAAATAAAAAGAGTATTAAGAAATTATCTAAACTGTTCTAATTAGTTAAGTAAATCTAAAAATTCAACAGAAAAAAAATGCATTTTATTTTTACTTTTATGAAGTTTGGTTCAGTTTTTAGTTTCCACATCTAAAACCAAACTGAACATACTAAATGTATATTAATTTTTCTGCTCTATCCTTATATAAACACTAATTTATGATTTTGTTTTTTAAGAAATTCAGATTATTAATTTGTGATTTGTAATTTAGATTTTGATTCTTTTTTATGAAATTTAATATTTTAAGTAATTTTTTCCATATTTATACTTTAATTAATTAAATATCAGTTGTTTACTAAAAGATAAGTTAAAATAATTTTTTTAAAAACAATCAAGTAAAACTAGAAATATTTGATCCCATCCAAATTGCAAAAGATTGGTTTGATTTTGATACTATTCTCAAACTGATCTAAATTGTATTGCAAATTTTTATCATCTTAAAACAAATTAAAACAAAAGTGCCAACACCCTTTTAAACATGCAATCAATGCAAACGAACGCATGTTCAAACATGCTCTAAGACATGTTCGAAGAATAGCAAGGGGTAGGTGCAATTGTAGCAGTTAGAATGACATTTGATTCCAAGATTTAATTACTTAAAAAAAATTATATTACGGCAAAGTTGAACTATTTTGAGTCTTGTGATTAAAACAAAAAAGCATTGAAATGATTTTGTTTATTTAAATGGGTCCACCCGTTTGATTAGAATTTGTTGGGTCTAATATAACTTCCAATGTTAAGGATCTCATATCCACATATAATTTATATACACATAATTTATTTGGTCCCTACATAGTTTTTATACACTTATATGATAACTCTCACGTATCCCAACTTTAAGCTAATGCATTGCTTAGCATTTGTTTATAATAAAATCTTTAGTTGAATCATGTAAATTTGTGTTCACCCATGGTTTCATTATTTCAACAAAGTAAAAGTGAACTTCATTGGTGGTGAGAGATTGTTTACCTTAGGCATAGATTTCGAGGAAGGGTAAAGGGAAAAATAGGTAGGTAGAACCCATGGTTGGTGAAGGGTAATAGGGAAGCATTGGTAAGATGATGATGGTGCAGGAAACGAGATGAAGATATAGAACATTGCTGAGAACGTGGTTTTGAATCTATTTGGAATATGAAGAGAAATGCTATTCACTGCCAATCATTACTAAGAAAAAAATAAAAGGGTTGTTTGGTTGTACAAATTTTAGAAAACAAAAAATAGAATGAAAACAAAGTAGTAGTTTTAAAAACCAAATAGACTAAAAGATTTTAAATGACTCTAGCCAAACAAATAGGTCCAAATTATTTTTTATAAGCAGCAACTCCTTGCTTGAGAAGAACAAATTGATGCACAATATTTTTTGTGAGACTCATAACTCTCTATTTCTCTTGATATGTATATATACAGAGAAAGATCTTATCATACTAATGTAAGTTTATCCTGCCCTATATATATATATATATATATATAATTATTTTTTTCTTAGCTAAACAAGATAAATGTTCTCATTTTTATCCTATCTCTATTTTTCCTACTTTCCATCCCACTTCTATCAAAATAAACAAAGACTAATGTTCTACTAAAGGTATAGATCTAAAACTCTCCAAAGTTGCCCTTGTTTTGACCAAAGGTAAAATGATTAATGACTTAAGTGCTAGTTTCTACTTTAGAATTAATTTAAATGACATTAATTTAAACCAATAAATATAGCTAAAATGTGTCTCTAAATCAATCTTGACCATAAGTTTTACATTGAAATGTGACAATAGACCCCAGTCTCCATGGATAATGTCATCTTCATTTGATTTGGATGCACCTCACTTGTCTCATAAAAGTATGGGGCATATGAATGAGACATGAATGTTTATGTTGACAAAGTGTGGCTTACTAACCGATTAGGAGGTGATCCTCAAAACTCTTGTAGAAGCAAAATAACATTGATGCCATTACAATTGAACTTTTTCAACAAACTCATACCCTCTTTCATCTCCATGTCTTTCTCTTCAACCAACTTATTGTGGGTCTCAAATTATTGCTCATGTTCCTTCCTCACATATGAAGAATGAGTACATCTATCAAATATCATGTCATGAGTGCATTCTTTTTCCTATAAGCTAATGTTAATCTCTCATTTTTATATACATGCACAAATTTTGCAAGTATAGGTATGGCTATCAATAATATACTATCCAACCGTGCCTATACTAGCATAATATGTTTATTATATTTAATAACTAGAATTTAGAAGTTTTTTAATTAATCCTTTCTTCAAGTTACATGTTTCACTTTTAATCAATGTTCTTTTTATTAGTTATTAACATTCATATTAATATTATAATAGCATTTATATTTTATTAGTTTGTCAAACAAGCGTGCAATGAGAGATTATATTAAAATTAATTATAAACTCGAGTATGTGTGTATAGATACCCAATAGGTAAAGATGTGTGTATCAAAGTTTTCACTTGTGCAAGTATATGTCTAGACATGGTTTATTTATTTATTTATTTCAAATGAGAAGTTATAAATAAGTACTACAATACCTTTCTCAAATTATAACAACCACTTAGCTGTGTTCACAGCTCATTATTTTACTTCAATTTTTGTTGAAAAGTAAGCACTTTGGTCTATTTTCTTGCACTTAAAATGTTAATGTTTCTCCTGTGGCATGTCTAGGCATGGATTGCTTTTTTGTTTGTTTGTTTTGTTTCAAATGAGAATTTAGAGCGAAGTACTATAATACCCTTTTCAAATCTTATTTGGTAGATGTATATACTCGTGATGTATAACAACCATTTTTCAGTGACAACCTAGCTGTGTCCACAACTCATTATTTTACTTCAAATTTTGTTAAAAAGTAAGCACTTTAATCTATTTTCTTGCACCGAAAATGAGAATGCAACATGTTGCTAGAATCTAAGTGTTAAGAGTACGAAATGTCAACTTAAAAAAAAATGGTTCTGCTAATGATAATGAATGTCTTAATAATATATGTTAATGATTTAATAAATAATTTTTATCAAATATCATGATAAGAGTATATGAAAAACCAAAGTAAAGGGTACATTGATAATATTTTTAAATTAAAAAAAATATTTTTGACATTTTTAATATGCCTTCTAAGGACACACTGATTTTCATTCTCTGAAGAAAATTTAATAAATCAAATGACTAATGTCAATTCAAGAACCTTAGTTTAAGTGAAGTTACCTTTATAGTTGATTGTTCAAATTCTAAGGGGTGTGCTTTTTTATTGGTAAAAACATTTATTTAAGAAATTCCAATCAAATGATATTTTGTTGATAAATTTGACTATAAAATCTATTGACATAAATTTTTTAAAAAATAATTATTTTAACATTTTTTATAAATCTTTTAAAATAAGTTAAAGTAAACTTATAAAAAGAAGTCATAAGTCATTTTTATAAACCTAAATTTTATCAAGTTCCCCAAAATCTTATACCACCTTGATAACCAAAATATTAGACTTTACTAATCAGATTGTATAAAAACAATTATCTTCTCACTAACAAATGATATAACCAGATTTCAGAAATTTAAAGACCAGTATAAAAAAGTAAGCAGAAGCCAAAAGAAAAAAAGAATTAGAATCAGAAAGGAGCGAGGGAATTGCACAAGGAAAAGTAGTTTAATTGCCAGTCTGTAATAGACTCACTACATTTACAACTAGTGAACAAGACTACATGCATTGAGAAAATGCAAGGAATCAAACAGCTAGCTGTTGCTGCTTTTGGTGGGAAGATTCATCCTCATTGAAGCATAAGTGGGCCTTTAATGACTTTCCTAAACTTGGGTTGGAATCTCTAAAATTTAGAGGTTGCATCAACATCATTTCTCTTTGGAGATGCACACAATAGGCTTGGAAGGTGCTTGGAGTTACATTTAAATGGAAACCTAAGCCAAACAGGAAATCCAACTCAAGAAAATTCATCTCTATTTTGGTGATTCCTCCAACTTTTGCATAATAAGCATTATTGTAGTACCTGAAAATGTCAAATCACATGCAAAAAGACAACATTGTGTGAATATAATGTAACATGTCTTTGTAGAAAATAAGTAAGTTTAACAACAATAGAATTTGACAACTGTTTTTTCTATAACCCATTATTCCAAATTACATGTAGATACACACATGCACATACCCAAAAACATAAAATAAAAATAGGATCAGTAAAATACAAATGACAGCATTTAATTTTCAACATGTAAAATTAATGTCAGTTATAAAGTTATGCATAATTATATATTTAAGATTAAATCTTCTCAATTATAACGTTTTTATTAATTAATTTACCATATCTATTTATCTGTATAATTAATTAAAAGATATTTGCTGGATATGTGCAGTAAACTCATGGGATCACATGGGTGTATTGTCTCCGTTTAATAAAAAGCCAGCCTGTATATAGTATTTTTCACAAGCAATGTTGTTATTTTTTTTTGGGTCGTAGAAATGTTGTTATTTATAAAACACTAAATGTCAGAGAAATATAGAAAAAAAGTAAACACCCAAAATGAAATAAATAAATAAATAAATTGGGGGAACTATAATTCAACAACTGGGTTTCTATAAGAAGTTTAATTTTTTTCCTAGTAGTGGAGCATCTCAAAATTCAGAACAAAACCATTTCAGGGGAACAATCACAGATCTCTAAACAGAGGAAAAACAGAGCAAATGTATCCATCATTTTACCTTTGTCCAACTATTGCACCAACTACATATAATTCCTAAGTGAAAAAAAAATATCAAGGATCAAATGAATTATGAACTCATAGAAATGCGAGAATATGCTATAGGGAGTAACACTTAGAATTCATCGCTGATTATATATCAAAAGTTTTAGAGTTCAGGCTATTAGAAGCAAAGCATAAAATTGGAAAGTTACTTAGCAACATTAAGTACCCGTTTGATCTAACTTTAGAGTAATTGGATAGAATTAATTTTGAAAAAGTGGATAAAGAAACTGCATTGACAGCATGTTTGAATGCATATTGAAAGTTTCCAAAATCAAAATTGAAGTTATAAACATGATTTGGAACATGTGTGAACACGTTTGGTAATTTCATACGAATTTCTGTTACCATTTTATTAAAAAAAAATATTTTCAAATATAAATCATTCACTTCAAACTCCCTTTTAACTAAAATCAATTCTTTAAAATTAAGTTAATTCAAAATTACCCTGAGAATTAATTTTCTAAGTAAGAAACAAAGAGCACACAAACTAAGATACTTACATATCGTCCATGAATTTGGCAGCTACCATAACACTGGTAATCAACAAGCGGTGCACATTGAAGGAGTTGATAGGCAAAGAGGGTTGTCTTTGAGTGAAACGGTCAAGGTAGACATAAGCAACAATGAAACATGATGGGCTACAATTTGCATACTTGAAAATTCTCTCAAGGTAGTTCTGAATTGAGATGTTGGGTCTTGTCAAGCCATGGAACACTGAGATCTTCTGGTACTGTTGGAGCTTTTGGTTTTTATCATTTGATTCAGCCACCCTTTCAAGCATAGAAGAGAGAAAAGCTATCACCTTTGGCATCACACTTGAACTCTCCTCCACCTCTCCCATGTTTTGCTACAAAGAATGTTTCCAATTATGATGTGGGATATACATGCATATTATATATCCAAGCTCTTTATATTCCCTGTACCAGAAACTTAGGATAAAGTGCATTTAATTATTAAATAATTTTTACATTTTTAAATAGAGTAAATGATATTGTGTGTATATATAAATAAATATATGTATGTGGATGTGTGGGTGGGTGAGTGTGATATTATTTATTTATTTTTTTAATAATGAATATTAGGTACTAGACTTGTTAAAGTGATATTCTTAATGCCTTTTTAGAGATGTTAAATTTTATTAATTTGATAAGATTTAATATCTATGAAAAATATCAAACATGCTAATTTATTAAATTTGTCACATACAGATAGAGAAAGAGAGGGGTCGTTAGAGGTTGATACTTTTCTTGATCCAAAATGGCTGTAGTAATATAAATAATGACTTGCAAGTTGGCACATCACTGGTGGTATGTGTCCCTTTTGGGTTATAAAAGTTTTGGGGTTTGAGTTGGTAATGATTTTCATTTCCTCTTTAATTTCAAAACTTGACTTGTAAAAGAGGGAAGGGTGGTGCGTTTATTGTGGATTAGTGTCCCTTTCTTGAAAATAGTTAGTGGTTTTGTTGTTGTGAATTATTTGTGACCATAGAGATGCCATTCCATACCCTTCATGTGATTACATGTGGGAATTTGAGACTGTAGTGTAAGGGTCCCACTGTTTGGAGACCTTTGCATGTGTTTTGATTCTTGTACAAGTGGGTGACATAACATGGATTTGCAATGTTGGTCCACACCATTACTTCTGTAGTCTCCTTTGGGTAATATTTCCTAGCATATCCGTGCCATAAATCACCAGCAGAGAGGTGGTGCTTTAATGTGTTACAATATTGGCTCATGTGATCTAACAAGTTTTAGCTTAATTTAATTAACTGCTTATTTAATAAGCTTTTATTGTATAAGGGGTTTATAGGATAAATTTGAACATAAAACTTATTAACATAAATTAAACACACTCTAATGCTATAATACTATTATGTTAGGTTCTGAAAGGAATCCAACAATGATTAGATTTATATGTTTCACGTCTGAAAGGTTCAGATCATGTGGTCTATTAGCATGCTTACAATTTATAATCTAGGAAATTGATAAGTTTTTCTTTCTTTTCAATTTTTAAGAGTACATGTTACATACTTACAATCCCAGATCTTGTATTTTTGTTATGTTGATTGTTACATGACATGAATACATCCTGCTTTTGAGAAGGAGGGCCAATGATTTTGTCTTGAACCCAATATAAATTGATAATTTAAATGAATATTTGATACTTTGGAGACCGACAAATGCTGCATTCTCTCTAGTCAATGTGCCATTACCAGGAAGCAACTTTGCACAAAGAAACAACAGCTTGAATGAGATGTATTTTTGCCAAAAAAGTGGCCATGAAACAAAACCCATTTGGAACAATAAGCTGCAATGGCAAATAGAAAATAGAGACATGAAGCTTTTGCAACGTGACACCTTTATATGTGGATCTAATCTAACGTGTTAGGAAAGCAAAACAGTGTAAGATTTGACCCACAATGTCATGCACGTTGTCTAATTTGGTACAACTATCTTAGCAATGCTACTTAATTAACCTTGGGAGGAAACCATCGTTTGGAATTGGATGCTTGCTAATGAAGAAAATGAATAATCCTAGTTTAATTTAAACTTTGGAGAAGACATGACTTTGGGTAAAAGCTATTCTTATATTATGTTTTGTGAAATTATCATAGTGAGATCATATGCTAGTATCTTTAAGCTAGTAAGCAAGCTAGCTTTATATTAGGTGAGTGTGCCATTAATTTCAATATAGCAAGCGAATTATGGTTATTTTGGTATCGGACAAACATGGATATATACCCATGAACCAACCATTAACCAACGTTTTCTATCCCAGGATGTGAGAGAAGAAGATTCTACAACCACTAGCAAAGTAATATAATGGTTATGGAGAAAAATCTAACAAAACATTTATTGTTCATTCGAGCTACAAGATTTATATGTGCTTAATTCTAATTCAATGAGTATGTTACTTTACACTACCATAAAGTGGTATAAAACACACATTGCAACCCTTGAGCAACCATCCTATGATAAGATTTAACTTAACTTTTATTTCTTAAAATTTTTTTTTAAAATTTACTTCTTACAACTTGAGAGTGTCATTCTATTATCTTTTTTATTTTTTGGTCAACGATCCCTATAAGTCAAATGTAAACGTGCCTTTTTTAATGTTTTGAAATGCAAGTAAATTTACCATTGATTCCTTTTAGAGAGTGGTTTCCAACTACAGGTGCATTATTCATAAGCCCATATAACAGTTGAATCTAAAACCATATAACATCCAAGGAATTGGAAAAATATTAGTTTGGGCTAATTTAAACTTGATGGGTTGTGAGTCAGATCCATTGAAAAGGTCCGTGATGGTACAACTAATTGATAACATTTTTTTAACACATTTTTATTAATATGTTTTTATTATTAATTAAATTTATGTGAGTCTCATTAAATAATAAAACGAGATTCATTAAATAAAGAATAAAACTCCATATCATTTAATAAATCCTACATAAATTTGACCTAAGAAAAAATAATATGTTAGAAAAAGGTGCATTGCTCCTATTATAAGAACTTAAAAAAGAGTTTAGTTCCCTTAAACGTCTTAGTTTGTTGACCGTACTCTCAACTTTCTTACTTGATTAGGTGATTTGTTATCTATGGGAGAAGGAAGATGACAAGTCCTGGGGACACACAAGGTTATCAATCAAATATTTGGACCAAAATAAAAAAAAAAAATATAGCAGGGAAACAAAATAAAACATAAAAAAAGTAAATTAAAAAATATGTTTAATAGAGCTATTATTTCACATTAATAAAAGAAGCATAGCATAAAAATAACAGGACATCAAACTAGCTAGCTAAGCAAATTGTGTTAAAATCAATTAAAAAATAGTTTAAATTACAAAACATTTTGCTTCAATTTTCGAGACTGAGGTTATACCATAAATGACCAACAAACCTTCTATTTATTGAAATAGGAAAAACTACTATAACTAAGTTTGTTGCATGACAATTACAAATGAACTAGATAAGATCAGCGAGTTTTATGATGTCTTAATCAAAATTATGTCAAAGTGAACTTGATAGGCTTAACTAAGATATGCACTTACAGACCGAGTGGGAAGGCTTAGGGATGCATTCTCTTTTATGTATATTCAAGAGTTGGGTTTTGAGAAGAGAGAAGAGAATATTCTTTCATTTTCATATATATTCTTCAATTTTATAAAATAATCAATTAATATAAATATAATGTATTAATCTCTTATTTACTCTTATAAATATAACTTTTTCTTAATGAAAAATAAATACTTTGTATTTTTAGTTTTCAAAAAAGAGAAAACTCTTTAAAAATGCGAAAAATGCAAACAAACATGCCCCTTCTTCCCTGTTCTTTTTTTTCTAAAACTTAATCTAAAACATACCCTTAATCTCTTTAACATCCTCAGACCATGATCGATTTGATAGGAGACTTGGAGTTTTGTTCTTAAATCTTAAGGGGTTTTGCTCTTATACTATTTAATTACCATTAAGGTATAAAACCTCTAGGCATATATCATTCCCCATATACTTCTGAAGATTATAATTGAACTAAAAATAAATAAATAACAGTTCATATGAGCCGGATGATCTTGTTATTCCATGTTCGTCCATCAACAATTTCAGTAATCTTTCTTAACATCAAATTGATCGTTAATATTGATATATCATTATACCCAAACATTGCTATTCATACAAAATTATGTAAAAAATAAAACACAAGATACACTTCCACCGTCCGCATAGGATGGCATGGAGGGAATACACTAACAAATATGAAAGCATGTGGAAATCAGCAAAACAGTTATATTCGTCAGAGTGAACCGTACACTAACAACAGCCATAACAGAAGCAGCAGATACAAACAATAGAAAATTGGAAATTCCTATGATGGGAAGCCACAGTGAATTGGATCCTAGTGGTTGGAGAAGTGGTTTTCTAAACTTTACTGATGATAACAAACACAAAGAAAATGCAATGGTGGCCAAGATGCAACTCTTCCCAAGATTTCTAATGCTTTTCTTCTTTCTTCATAACTAGAGGAAATGGATAACCATGGCTTTCTTGATATTCTGATAGTGATATCCTCTTCCATCTGCAACATACACAATACACCTCACAACATGTATTAGTGGTTAATTCAATCATAGCACACTGCTCACACAAACTGAAATGAAATGCTTAAGAGCCCGTTCAGTGAATATGGTAAGATAAAAAATAATAGGATATAAGAGTTAAATAACAATATCAGAAAGGATAGACTCGTGTTTTATTTTACATATGATCCATACTAAAATAACTGTTGATATGTAAATATAGTAATTAAGCATGATGTGTAATTATAGTAATTAGGCCAGTAAAATAGCGTAATTAGGATATCAGGATTACCTTTATTAAGGTAATAATTTGTAATTAATATAGATTCCCTTGTACATGTATAAATTCAGACCCTTGAGTCATATGCAATACACAGAAAATACATTCAAGTTTCAGATTTTATAATAACAAACAAGATACCTTATGGTATCCTGTTCTGTTTATTTCTAGTCCAGGTTCCTCACAGGATAAAATTACACTAGACACAAGGATATGGAAGATCATATGATAGACTTATTATATTTTGTTAGTTAAACACATGTCAAAAATACAATATGATAGAAAAATATATTCTATCCAATTCTCTTATCACGTCCACCAAACGGGCCAAGTTGTGTGCATTTAGAAGTACCTGTGCATGTGAACTGTTAAGATTTGCATAAGAAATCAAAAGCCAAAAGTTGTCCTGATTTCTCATCATGCAGCCAAACATTGGCAGTGCCATAGGGCACTAGCAGACATATTTTTGGAACATCTTCCTCCTCTGCAGTTTAATACAAGAAATTATTAGGCATGATGGCATCACTTTTCTGCATTGATCATAACATTTAGATGGGAACAGATAGCAACTTACTCTACTCACTTATGCCAATGATTCTCCATGCTTCTCATGATCTGCAGGCTCCTCTCTTCCTTGAATATTGTTCATTTGCTTTAAGAAATTCATAATACTTCCCAATCCAATCTGCAAAATATAACACAACTAAATGTCAAGTGTTGCCTTGGCACATCTTAATGTTCCTCCAACTTGATCCAATTAACAATAACATATAGAGGGGTTTATCAAGAATAATCAACCATTAAGATTGAATTGAACTTGATCACGATGATATGCAGTGAAAAAGTAAGCATGATCAACTTACCCATGACAAAGGCTTCTTTCATGATTTGGTAGTTCCCAACACAAGACTCTTCCTCAAACAACAAATTTTCTCCAACTACAACTCTTGGTATGTTACATAACACCAGAAACTCAAACAACAAATTTTGTTCAACACTATCATTGGGTTGATCATGAAATTCAACATCAAACCCTGTTTCCAAAACCAGAACTTCCAAACACAATTACTATGAAATTGCCGTGAAGTCACAATATCTGTCCTTCACTCGATTGTCTCCTTTATTTTCTGCCAGCCAATTTGACCGGGTGTTTTAGATACACTTTACGATAAATATAATTTCATTCCATATGGTACTAGAATATGCAAATCCATTGCTTTCAGCCAATTAATATTCCATTTTATAACCTTTTAAGTCTGTCCCTCTTAATATTCCATTTTATAACCTTTTAAGTCTGTCCCTCTCTACTCTTCAGCTTCAAATAATTACATCTAACAATCAACTCCTTAAATCTGTAAATCAACACGAAAAATTCATAATGTCATCCCTCTGCAGCTAAATCAATATATTCATAAACTATATTGACACAAACTCACCTATCAAATATCATGGAACCTATAATAAAGAATTTGTTACTGCTCCAATGACACTCCTCTAACAGCTGGAGACATCAATTCGCAGCTTCCCATGTATCTCCCGCATCAACAACTTAGAATTATCAACAATGTGTTTGCTTTTATAAACTATATATGTACACAATTCATGTCTACGAGCTGGTCTCAGGGATCTTAATTCAAAAAGGGGATTTGTTATCTCATTACTACAATACAACTCTCTTGCTGGCTGGACATGCTTCCACCAGAAATCAGATAGTGCTATTTTCATTACATCCCAATACTCTAGATCACGATACAACCTGAATAGACTACTTCCATTAGGAGTCCAAACATAAAAATCCATCCAATCCCTTCCCAGAATCTCCATTAAACCCTGAGCTTGAGGAATGTAGTGAATTGGAATTCGAGACCAAGGGAAGGCTCTCCTTATGTCCCCGTCGAAATATGGACACTTTATCTCCAGTACTCCACGAGAAGGCAACTCATACACCATCCCATTAATTACACCGTCCGGTGAAGCAGCTAGCCAGTTGTCTTCTGGGTGTGCATCATAGACCTGAAATTGAGGGAACAACACAGTATTTCCAGTAATCAGTTTGTATCTTTCAAGTGCATCCCCCTCTTTGATATTGCTCCAACAGGTGGCAAGGTTTCCAGAGAACGGTTCAATAGCACCAAGCTTCTCTAACCACAGCTGAACCCTTCGCTGACGCCAAAATCCAATTGCAGCAGCAAAAGTGCTAGCTGTCAATTTATTTCTCCTAAGTGTTTGCCAATTTTTAAACCAGTGTTGAAGGCAGCTTGCTCGAAGGACTGGATAATTTTCAACGGATTTGTATTTTAACATGCCACCGAGTGAACCCGATTCTCTAGAGCGGTTATTAGGAGCATGGCTACTTGTATTAGATTCTCTGATAATTGGTAAATAATCATTATTACTAAAGTTTCTCTTATTACTTATACATGTAAATGTAACAGATGCACCCCTATAACAGCTATTTTTGTGCTTGAAACATTTAAGCCAAACAAGTGAAAATGAAGAAGCAATCTCGCCACTGTTGAAGAAGAGAGAGAAACCGTTACTTCTACTGCAGTAGATATAAACTAGCAACAACTAAATAGGTAAATAAATAATATATAAAAGAACGATAGCATAAGTAATCAGGGTGATGCTGAGTTTTTTATGAACAATTAACAAGTACATGGTTTTATTTACTAGTTATGTAGAGAACTATGAACAATCAAATAAAGAGGTACAAAATTCATAATAATATAATAAGATTGGGACCAAACAACTAGTTTAATCTACTGTTTGGAAGAATCGAATGAGAAATAAATTAGGGTTAAAATGGTTTGTGGATATACCTTCTCATTCAGCTAGAATACATGGTTCTGTGTGGGAATACACTCTAAAAGCGAGTTGGGTATTTCTCCATAGAAGTTGATGTTAACCAAATTGGGCATTTGAAGCGATTTGATGTTCCATTCTCTATCACAGATATCCAAAAAATATTTCCCCAGAGCTAGTTTTGGAGGCGCACTTCTCGGATCTTCCATAACTAATTAATTTTTCATAAATTAAAAATACACTACATAAACTTCAAAGCATTTGTATAACTTTGTTTTAATTATACTTTCTTTTAAAAAATAAATTTTACTAATAAGAAACAAATTAAAAATCATTTTATTTTATTTTTCAATGTTAGTTATAAGCAAAAATGAATTTGATATTTTTTTAATAAATTATATATATATATATATATATATTAAAAATAAAAATTATTAATTTAAATTTAATTTTAATAAAAATATATTTAATTTTGTATTAAAAATATATAATTTTATTATTTGTATATAATTTATAAATTATCATCATGTAAATATTAAAATGAAGAATAAAATATTATTATATTATATTTGTATCAAATTTTTATATTTTATATTTTTTTCAATTTTATGTTAATTATCAATCAATCTAATTCCTTCTTTTAAATAAATATAGTGGAAAATATTAAAATTTTAAAATTACTTTGTATTCTAAATATATGATAAATTTTTAAATTTTTAAATAAAAATTAACAATTTAAAAGTTTTAGGTATAAAAATTAATAATAAAATAAAATATATTTGTACTAAATAAGATATTACTCAGTCAATGATAAAAGAAGGAATCCAAATACTATTTCGGTCTAAATAAGATGAGTACCCTCCCAGTCAGATTAAGAATGAATTAAAGGATAGTTAAATCGATTAGGATAAATAATTAGATTATTATTTACTTAATTGGAAGGCTAAAGTCAGGGCTGACCCACAAAGCCCATTAGCTCATAACACTGTCTATAAAAGGAAAGTAAGAGGTACAAGTAAAGAGTTGATTTTTTATTCAAATAATATTTATTGCCTAAACTGATATCTGACTTTATCATTGGAGTGTCTTTTGTAGGTACACTCCCCCCATGTCATACATGAAGAAGTTAGAGATACTTATATGGACGTTGCCTGACTTTACAGAAGAGGAGTTTCTAGAAGACCAGTGTATCTTGTACAAGAACATTTTGGCACCTACTGTGGGGCACGATTTGCCTCGATTTCAGAGCAATCATGATACTTACAAGGAGTCAGCAAGGAGGAGCCTCTCGTCAGTAGGAGGATGCTACACTTAACCCACCAATACTTGAAGTTCTAGTCGAAGGTGAAAGAGATGAAAGCTTTTTTTCAGTAGTAAGACAGCTTAAGGCTGAAATGATGGAAATACTAAGGATGAGAGAGAAAGACACTCTCGAGTTGTCAGCTTTAAGGAAGGAGAATGTCAACTTGAGGGAAGAAATCAAAACCTACATACTCTCTCAAACTATCCCTTTTGTCCAGGAGCAGGGAGAGTCCTCAGCTCTGCAGGAAAGGCCAAACACATATAAGCAAACTAGGACCTATGTTGAACGAGACTGTACTTCAAGCCGAAGCCCTTTCATTCAGCCTATTCTGGAAGCTAAATTACCTGAGAACTGGAGAGGCTTAATACTAAAGAAGTATGATGGGACATCCAACCCTGAGGAACACTTGGATATTTTTACAATTCAAGTCAGTCTATATACAGAAAATGATGCCTTATTATGTGGCATATTTCCCACCTCACTTCGTGGACCAACCCTCAACTGGTTTACCAAGTTACCCCATTCATCCATCAATTCGTTTACAACGCTCACTAGACAATTCAATTTGTAGTTTGCTACAAGTCGTCCTTATCTTTTGAGGTCATTGGCGTTAGTAAATATCTGACAGGAAAATAGAGAGACACTTAGAGCGTTCCTGGAACGCTTTGGCAAAGTTTCCCTCTCAATCCAGAACTTGGAGCCGGCAGTCGCAATGCACCACCTTACAATAGCTTTGAGGCCGGGCCCTTTTGTCAACAACATGTGTAAAAATCACTTGTTGATCTAGACGAATTAAGAAGTCGGGCAGCAAAGTATATGCAGATGGAAGAATTGGCCGAGTACCGAAGCCAAGTTCGAATGGAACTGGGGTCCAACCAAAGAGAGGGTGACAAGAGGGTATCTTTTTAAAATAAGCAAGAAAACAAAGATCGAAGAGGAGAGGCTAAGACCATGAAGAGGACCTAAATATGCCACTTATATTACTTTAAACACTAATCGGTCTAGAGTACTCGAGCAGGCATTGGCGACTGAGATATTGACTATCCCTAGAGTGCAAATACCCCCCTTGAGTAGATAAGTCAAAATAATGCCGATATCACAGAAATAGAGGACATATCACTGAAGAGTGTACAGCCCTAAAAGATCGCATTGAAGACTTGATTAAAGCTGGGCACCTTCAAGGTTTTGTACAAACACATCATTTCGGTCCCACTGAGAGGAGTAACATACCTAGTGGTCCACACAAGCACTTCATATAATATACTACTCGGCCACCCATCCTCAACAAATTAAGGGCCATAGTATCCACTCCTCACCTGGTTATGAAATTCCTCTCAAACAGAGGCCGAATCGTAACAGCCCCTGTAGATCAGAAGATGGCCAGAGAATGCTATTTTGCAAGCTTACACTTAAAATCCTTCTTCACACATAGACGAGATGTGAACATCGTATTTCCTCAGTCAGAAGTAGATTTTCATGTAGAACTGGACCTAAGGATAGAAGAAGGGCTTCAGGTTGAACCCAATGAAGACAAGAAATCTTTCCAAATAGGAAAAAAAACCCGACCATATCACATATCTCGGAGCAGGCTTATCCTCAACCGAACACTTGGCACTTGAAAAGGTGTTGTTAAGCAATCCCAACTTATTTGCATGGTTGGCCTCAGATATGCTAGGAATATACCCTAATTTTTTATGTCATCTTTTATCAGTCTACAAGGGAGCTAAACCAATTGTCCAGAAAAACAGAAAGGTAGGCAGTGATAGAGCACGAACAGTCCAGGAAGAAACTATCAAGCTATTACAAGCTGGCTTTATCCGAGAGGTACGTGATCAATTGGAATTTTTCCTCTCATTCCTAGTTCATTAATCCTCTTTTGTGCCTAATTGGTTTGAATTGGATCATTTTATGATGTTTGAATTTTATTTGGGCTTTATTTAATTTTTTCAGCATTAGGCAAATTCTGATACTGTTTTGGTTTCTAGGCCATATCTTAAGTTGTAGAGTCATTTCATTATGATTCTTGATTTGTAGGAAAGCTAAGAGAAAGGCACACAATTCTTATGAGAGGTCAGAAACAAATTTTGATGATAAGAAGCTGAAACTGGGCCTGGAAAAAGTCAGAACGCTACACTCACGGTTTCTGACCTTGGTGCAGTATTTAGGCCATATCTCAGTCCACAGATGTCTGTTTAAACTTATTCCAGTTGCGTTTTAAAGCTAACATCCAAGGATACAATTTCTCTTCATATCAGAAATCGAATTGGATAGATATTCATGGCCAAAAATATCACACAATATCTTCTCGAATTTAGCATGGTTGCTGGGCAGCAATTACAAGCATAACTTTCCTTCCAAAATTCAAACTTGAACAAATAAGGATTCCAGAGACAGCTATTCAGTAGAGGATTAATGTAATTGAATAATTATTAATTAGTTTTTACGTTTTGACCCTTAAGGGCCTGTATATAAATTAGGACAGCAGGTTGTAAAAGAGCTAGTTAGTTAGAGGTTGTTTTTTTTTTTAGGAAAATACAAGTTTTAGGATTTTTGTCTCTTCTTCTTTGCCTCTTCTCTTCTCTCACTTTTTACCTTTCGTTTTCCTCTATTAATAGAGGCTTAGACTTTCATCTAATCCAAGGATTGAAAAGGGGCTGTGACATTCTTGAGAATCGGTTTCGTAATTCATTTAACAACAAATCCGGTTTCATCTCTTCCTTCTTCTCCTTTTACTAATTATGATTTCGAATTGAAGTTATTCATTTGGATTGATAATTGTGCAGCTGTTTCATTGCATATTATTCGGTTGATGTATGTAATTAATTTTTGAAGGAAAGTGAATTAGATTTTCAGGTTTGAGATCTAAAATTAATGGCATTGGTGAATTAAATTAATATAAATCGATTAGGTTCTAGAGGTTTCTGAACTTTGAGCGACTGTGTGTTAATCAAATGCATGAAGGTTTTCATGTGAATGCTTAATTTGAATTGAGGTTTCATTCGAATTTAATATTAATCACTAATTTGCTAGCTGATGCATCTTCTTGAAATCTGGTGATAGAATGATCATAGTTCTTCTAAATTCTTGAATTAGAGTTTTAAATTCTTGTTAACTTTTTATTCTAATCAGCATTATTTTATAAATCAAACTCCATCTAAATTTATAATCGTATAACATTATCATCATTAGGAGACGACTCGGATTGTAACTCTTACTACATAATTTTTATGCAATTCAATTTTTAATAATTTGTCTGAGCGTGACACTCGTGATCAGTACGATACTCCACCTAGCTAGCTAACGTTGTGATGGTAAAGAAGGCAAATGAAAAGTGGAGGATGTATACATATTTCACATATCTAAATAAAGCATGTCATAAGGATGCTTATCCTCTATCCAACATCGATAACCTGGTCAACGAGACTGCCGGCCACAAAATACTTAGTTTTTTGGATGCATATTCCGAGCATAATCATATTCGGATGTACCCCCCAGTGAGGAGAAGACAACATTTATCACGGATTCAGCAAATGTTTGTTATAAAGTTATGCCCTTCGGTCTTAAAAATGCAAGGGCAACATATCAAAGGCTAATGGATAAAATCTTTTCAAAACAGATAGGGAGGTGTATGAAAGTATATGTTGACGATATGTTAGTTAAATCCACCTCCCTAGATAATCATGTTGCCCACTTAATTGAAGTATTCGGCGAAGCAAAACGACATGGAATGCGATTTAACCTCAACAAATGCACATTTGGGATAGCGAGAGAAAAACTTTTAGGGTTCACGCTCACAGAAAGAGGGATTCAGGAAAATCCAGACAAGTGTCAGGCCATTATTGAGATGACTAGTCCTCGGAATACAAAGCAAGTT